GCATGGATCAGACAGACCCCGAAGGCCCCCATCTGGTCCCACAGTGACAAGCAATTCCTGCACGTATGACCCTGCCTCGTCAGTGCCTCCTCTACTAGTCTGTGAGTTCCCTGAGATGGGGACAGGGATGGGGGCAGGATCTTATTTCTGTATTTTCACCACCTGCCCAGAGCCTGGCACGGAGCTGGGGTGACAAAGGCGTGCGAATGGATGCTGCCGTGACAGGGAAAGCACCTGGCGTGGTACCTGGCCGACAGAGCAGCTCCCCAAAAGCGAGTCGGATCCCCCTCATCAGTCCGTGAGCTGGGCGGTGGGTGGGCTTGCTCTCCCACGGGCACCTTAAAGGTGGGCCCAGTGCCTCTTCCCCACTCTCCCACTCCACCCTAACCCAGCCCCCGCCCCCGGTGCAGGTTTCCCACTGGAAGAGGTATTCCAACCACGCTGTGGGCCGGCGTCGGCTACCGCACCTACCTGGAGTGGGGACGAGGCTCCTGGCAGATGGGCCTGCCACAGTGCTCCCTGGTGACCGCAGCTGACGGTACTCCACCCTGCCAGCCCCCAGAGGCCCACGCAGGGCCAGCACCAGGGACAATACTCCTTTGAGCATCCCAGGAAAGGCGTGGAAACCCTAGGCTAGGCACAAACGTGAGGGATGGCTGGTGGGAACACAGTAGCCTGGGCCCAGAAGTAACCTGGTCACAGGCACAGAACAGAGACACCCGTTATAATTAAGAACATCCTCGTGGTTTTGACCTTCTAGTCAAGTGGCTCTCAATCAAAAGCGATTTTGCCCCCCAGGGGACATTTGGCAATGTCTAGAGATATTTGTGTTTCTTGCAATGGTGACGGTCTGGCATCAACTGGGTAGAAGCCCGGACACCACTAAACACCCTCCAAAGTTCAGAGGAGCCCACCCCACCCCCCGACAGAGAGTGACCTGGTCCGAAAGGTCAATAGTGCCCCGTGTTAGAAACCCTGTTACAGTCTGGCCAGCCACGCAATGTGGCATTTGGCTCAGCAGCTGGGAGAATGTTGGACCCGTCTGCCTCTCGGGGGCACCTCAGGGTCTCACAGACTCTTGGGGACTGACCCCGCCTCCTTCCCTCCCCCTTTCCTGTCCTGTCCCCAGGTAACCAAGTTTGGTGAAAGGGACTACAGGCTCTCCCCTGCTGAAACCTTTAAGGTTTACTAAACAGCTCCCTTCCAGAATGATTTAAAGGACAGCCCTGCTGGCAGCCACAGACAAGGGACTCTCGGGGGCCTGTTGGGGATTAAATGAGATGGTAGATATGAAAGCACTCCACCAGGTGTGAAACAGCTTACAAATGTTACTTATAATTTATGCATCATCCTCGCAGCCTGAGACGGTAAGATTCCAGGCAGAAAGGGGCTGGTTCCTGCACGGTCCATTTCCAGCCACGGCCTCAGCGCCCCCGAGTGGCGACTGGTGGACACTACACCCCAGGTGGGCGCGGCCAGGAGGAAGCCCAGGCCAGGCTACCTTGGGCTTCACTAATTGTCACCAAGCTCTGCTGCAGCCCTGCAGGGAGGAGAGAGAGGTAGTACCTCACTCTCACTCACACTCACACTCACACTCACACACACGCACACTTCAGAAACAAGGAAACCAGGGCTTCGGAGATCAGCACTAGCAAGTGAAGGAGATGAGACGGGACCCCAGAGATGGGCCGTTTCACGATGGTGGCTACAGTGGCATTCGTCAGGTTAGAGGGGAACTCCTGAGGGCCTCGGACTGCAGCCCCTACCCCCAGACCCTACACACTTCTGTTCCAGCTGCGCCGAACCCTCAGCCACACTGAACTCCCCACTGTGCCCCAAAACACCCTGCGTTCTCCTGTCCCTGAGCATGTATCAGCTCCCTCCTTCCTTGTGCATGGAAGCCCTTCTCCTGGCAGACTCCTACACACCCCTCAGTGGAGGGGTGACTCGGTGGAGGCTGAATTCTGTGTCACCTCCTCCATGAAGCCTTCCATGAGTCACCCAGGAGGAATTAGACCCTTGGGCCTCTGGGATCCCCGCAGTCTGCGAGTGTTCAGAGCAGGCACCATGTCCGGTTATTCCCAGGGCCCAGCCCAGTTCCTGGCACAGAGTAGGAGCCCAATAAATGCTCACTAAGCAAATGGAAGGGATCAAATGAGAGAAAAACCTGGAGGTTGGGAGGTCTTGCCAGCCACATACCATCTTCTCCCTCTGCCCATCTGCAAGGTGGGTGCTAGGGTTTTTGACGGATCCTGGTCCTACATCCAATGTGCCCCTGAAACTGGAGAGAGAAATCTAAACAATTCGGCCTTCAGGGTGGCCAGTATGGGGCCTGCTGGAGGGAGGGGAGGAGGCCATATTCCTTCCACATCCCTCTCTGCCCTTCTGCAGACCCCCCAGGGCCAGCCCTGAGCAGGCAGAGTGATGGAAGGAAAGGAGGAGAGAGGCTGGGTGCGCGCCCCGCAGCTCTAGAGGGGCCCTCTGTGCACCTCCAGCCTGTGACTGCGCTCCCTCCACCCTGCCTGAGACCCTCTTCCCTGGCCCCCTGGACACAGCAGCCCTCGCCGTTCTTACAACCTCCAGTCTTGGACACTCCCGCCCACCCTCCACACAGCACAGCCAGAGTGACCTCAACAGGCAGCCTGGCCCCTGCTCTGGCCCTGCTCTGGGCTTTCCTCTCCTGCCGATCCACCCTGGGCCCCTTTGACTTTCCTGTCTCACGTGTGTATGGGAATCACCAGGGAGGCTCACGTCCAAGGCAGCATCCCGGGCTACACCCCCAAGGACACAGGCCGTTGCACTCCAGGCCAGGCCTTTGGCCCCCCTTGGTTTCCAATTGCCCCCTGTCGTGCCAGGACATCTGGGGCTCATCTTCCCATGGAGCACGGGGAGTGTTTCCTCTGGACACCTTGTTTCACCTTTCAGTAGCAAAACTTTATTTGCCTATTTGTCCCCCTTGGGGAGCTGGAGAAGGCCGTTGGTACTTGAACAAATTTGCCTTTGTGTTTTGTTACTACAAATCTATGTTCCCTTAAATTATACAATTCAAGAGGGTGAACATCTGCCTCTCTGGGATCGCTGCCAAAAGGGAGGTGCAGCCTCTCCTTCTGTCCCTGTCATTGTCCTGTCAGTCCTGCTGTGGGGACGAGAAGGAGCAGCCATTTATTCAGCAAATTTTTTTGATCACCTACTACGTGCCAGGCACAGCTTTGGGTGCATTAATTCCTCCTTCCATCCCTCCCTCCATCTCTCCCTCCCTTCATGTCTCTGTCCATCCCTCACTCCCTCCATCCACCCCTTCATATAGTGAGTGACCTCAGATATCACATCCAGCTTGAGAATCCTGCAACAGTAGCATTGAGCACCTACTACATATGTGAGTACTGCATCCCAAGGGTTATCAACAGAACACCCAGCCCTCTCCTTGCCTTCAAAGAAAAGTAGTACAATCATACGAAAAGTTTAACATGACCACACTGCCTGTGGAGAGGTGATTTCGAGGAACCACTGAATGAGGGACAAGCAACAGGAGTCAGGGGTGACAGGTCCTGTCGAACTTTAAAGGACAAGTAGGACTTAGTATCAGAGCAGCAAATGCATGGAGGTCAGAAAGACCCATTGGCTTGCCTGGCCGAAAGGGCAGCTCCCCATCCAGGAGCAGTGGGGTAGAAAAAACCAGAAAGGCATTGGACTGCGATGGAGGTGGGCGGGCTGAGAAATGTGGGAAAGTCCTTCTTGGGTCAGGCTGAGGCATCCCTGATTCTCAGACTGGATCTCGAACCTCAGACATGCAAAATTAAGCTTCTGCCAATTAACTTTTTCCATTGCTAAGACCCAGACACATTTATAGTTGCAGAAACATAGTTTGGCTTCTTTAAAGGACTCTCCAGTACTATTAAGAGTATTTTGTTCATCCTTCCCTGCATCACCAGCACCCCAGGGAAGGGGTCAACCCGGGCTTCTCAATGTCAGTGGAATGACGGGGGGAATGAGGGAGGGAGAGGGGAGAGGGAGCTGCAAGTACAGCTCACGGCTAAGTGCTCTTGCTCTCCGGGAGGGCTGCTCTGTAATAATAAGCACAAGGCAATTACATTCTGCTGTGTGGGTATTAAATTTGGGGACAACAAATATAATAAAATGTAGACATTTGTAGAGAGGTTGAAATAAAATAAAAGTGGAGGATAAAAATAAAATCAATAACCACAGGTTTCCAGGCGCCTACCTTAAAAGACGGTGTAGAAGAGCCCAGTATAAATGTGCACGTGGTGGGGTGGAGGCTGGGGGACCCCAGGGGCGCAGGAAGCGCTGCCTTCCCCCACAGGGCTGGGGACCTGCAGGGGTCCAGTCCGGACTCCCCGTCTCCCGGCGGGGGTTGGGCGTGGTGCCCCCAAGGCCCTAGTGCTCTGCGGGCAAGAGGGGCAACAGCAGGAGCCACCTGCCGCCACCTCCTGCGCACCGCCGGGGCGCGCTTAGCGCGGGGGCGGCCGCGTCGCGCGCTGCACAGACGGCAACTGCTGGGGGGCCTTGCTCCCAGCGCCAGCCAGTCGGGAAGGAACGCGAAGCAGCTAGTGGGAAAGCCCCCTTAGATGGAAAGAGGAGGCCCTGGCTATGACAGACTCGGTGTCCCTCACGAAGGGTGCAGGAAGGAAAGGCGAGGAGCCCCCGCGAGAGGCTCCACCAGGTACACTCGGGGGTCCCTTCCGCCGCATGAAGAATTCCCTGGGTAGACAGACGCCCAGCGCACGAACCCGAAATCAAACCTAGCGAAGCCACGCTGGGGTTTGGGGGGTTGCGGGGGAGGAAAGGAAAGGGGGATGGGGTAGCCGGGAGGGGGAGGGGTGGGGTGAGTGGGGGCATAGAGGGCGGCGGGCAGGTCGGTCACGGCCGTGGAGCTGCACTACTGACCCTGACCGGTAGGGGGCAGGGCTGCTCCAATTGGAAGGGCGAACGCTTATATGATTCTTGATCCTTTGCGGACACCGTTCCCAGCTTCCTCCGTTGGGAGGGTTTAACTGCCCGGAAACGGAAGTCTTGTTCTTTTCCTTTCTTCTGCTTTCTTGCTGTCTGCTGTAAGTATCTCTCGGGCGGTACGAGGGGAAGAAAAGTAATCCGGAGCAATCCACGACCTGGTGAAATTTAGGGTTCCCGGGCGTGCATCGAGGGTGTGGGGGAGGAGGAGGGAGTGCGATCGGGCCGGTATTTCGGGGGAAGCGGGGTTCTCTGCTAGCCCCCGCGCCCTGCTAACGCTGAGGACTGTTCCCCCGCAGGTACGGGTCCGCGACCCTTTCTCTGCGCGCCTCGTCACCATGGTGAGTACGGCCCCTGCCTGGCGCTTTCCCGGGGGAGCACGTGGGGGGCCCTGGGGTAGAGCGGGAGCCCCCTTCCAAGAGTCTTCGGAAGCGAGAGGGGCCGGTGGATTTGGCCGTCACCAGGAAATCTGCAGCTTTTTCCCGTTTCCTTTTGCAGCCTCGGAAAATTGAGGAAATCAAGGACTTTCTGCTCACAGCTAGGCGAAAGGATGCCAAGTGTAAGTGGTCGCTCTGAAGGTTTAAGACGAGTAAACGGTAACGGTCGCGTTGGCGTGGGGTGGTGCCACGCGGGTGCTGCTCCGCGGCGTCTTCCCAGAGCGGCGGGCGGGAGACGGGCTGGCGGGGTGGGGGCAGTGCTGCTGTCGAACCCCCGGGAGACAGACCTGTTGGGGCAACGTGAGGTGGCGGAAAGAGTTCTTAGGGCCGCCTTCGTTAGCTAAGTGTGAGCATCTTAAAGACCGTTCTGAGTTCATTTTTCTTCTGTTGTTACACAGTAGATTCACTGAACGGAATCTTTACTGCATGAAGGTCTGGAAACACGCGTCCCATGAACAGTTTAGTGCTGCACGTTCAGTTCTGGGAATACCGTGGACTCAGTACGGTCTTAGCTCGCAGTGAATTTCACTACTGAGTAATTTAACTAATATCTATTGAATATCAAAGTTTACTCTGAACTACCTTAAACTTGCTTAGAACACTTTTATTAGCCAGCAGTTGGGCAAAATTGTCTGAACCAAGCCTGTTTTATGAAGTGTTGAATGTCTCATGTGATTTATGGAATATAGCAGAACTGTAGGCTGTTAACCCTCGTGGCTGTCTGGGGCCTGCAGCTGCCCAGCATCAGGAGAAGGTATCTGTACCTTAGCCGGGGAAAAGATCAAAATTAAAAGTGTGCTTTCTGCTGAACGTGTATCACTTGTAACACCACCCTAAAGTTGGAAAATTTTAAGCTGAACCCGTCGTAAGTTGGAGGTGGTCTTTACTCATTTCGCAGCTTGTAAATGGGAAAGGAGGTGATGAGCAGGTTTTTGATAGATATGTGCCACCCTCTGCTGCCCACATACTGTCATTTTTTATACCAAGCATGAGAGGTAGTTCTGTTTTCCCTTTGTTATAGTTGAAGATTTGGGGGCTGTGTTTGATACAAGATAGATCTTGATTTATGTTATGTTACTTTAGCCTGGAATCATATTTTTTCCACTACGTTAAAGAGAATTGGATAATTTGTGAAAGTAGGACAGTGTTGGGCAGATGTATTAAGGTGAGCTGAGACCAACCATCTCTAATGCTCTGTGGCGGTGATAGAACCAAATGGTGGTGCATGGGGAGAGCCTTTGAGTTGGGGGGTGAGCAGAGAGGCAGGGAGGGTCATGTTTGTGTGTCCTGATTACCTAAAACAGGGTGTTGCCTTTGATCCTCTGGCGTTGGTTGTATGAAGTGGTAAACCACCCGTGGGAACACGTAGCATCTGGTGGGAATGATGTCTGTGTGCTTGTGTTTGGTGTACTGTCATACTATATAGAGGGGATTATTGGGTCAGTTTTAAGTTCAGAACAAATCCCAATGCAACCAGCAGATACCTGTTCTCAGCACGTTAAATATGACACCACCCTTCCCTTGTGTTTAAAAGGGGTGGTAACAGTATCTGTCGCACGGATTCGTGCAAGGATTGAATCAGATGATCCATTAAAGTCCTTCACGTGTTGAAGAAATGATAGTCAAATCTGACAGTTTGGTTTTTGTTTTAATTTTGTTTGGGAACCTGGTTTTAGATGATGTGGCTTATGAGGGTAGGGGTCACAGTCCCCTGGATGTAATAAGGTGTTCAGTAGGTGTTTGTTGAATAAACTTTCTTCACATGTGAAAAAGGCATAGCATAAAATTTACCATCTTAGCCATTTTTAAGTGTATGCAGTTCAGTGGCATTAAGTACATTCATATTATTGTGCAACAGCCGCTACCCACCCATCTCCTGAAATCTTTCATCTTCCCAAACGGAAATTGTCCCCGTTAAACAACTCCCCGGCCCCTCGCAACGACCATGCTACTTTCTGTCTCTATGAATTTGACTATTCTAGGTACCTCTTATAAGCGAAATGTATACCATTTGACCTTTTGTGACTGGCTTCTTTCACTTCAAATAATGTCAACAAGGTTCATCCATGTAGCAAGTGTCAGAATTTTCTTAAGGCTGAATGGCCCATTGTATGGACAGACCACATTTTGTTTATCCATTGTCTGTTGATAGACATTGGATTGCTTCCACACTTTGTGAATTTTGGCTATTGTGGATAATGCCTCGGTGAACATGGGTATGCAAATATTCTGTCATTGCTTTCAGTTCTTTTGGGTATATACCTAGAAATGGAATTGCCGCACATATGGTAATGTTGAATAACATTTTTTAAGAGATCCATACGTCTTTACAAGTGGTGTTCAGCTTAGTTTCTGGGAGTGGGACAGCTGCTAGGGGCAATGTTAGGATACTGAAATAGGTTGATTTGGATGAATATCCAAGTGCCTGGATTTATTAAGAACATGAGCCAAAGCAGCCAGTGCCTTGGGCCAGCTCCAAGCCACGGTGCTTCTTCTAGTGACATGCCCTTCTCCTCTAGGAATTATTGGCAGAAATGGAGTTGTGGGATTGTGAGTACGAGTTAATCTTGTGCTGCTGCTTTGAGGTTAAGTGCTATGCTTGTGTGTCTGGTTAGGTACTTGGGTTTGAGCACTAGAGCCCATGTTCAGTCCTCAGCCACCTGATTCTCAACTGGCATTTCACTGCTTTTAAAACAGTGAGTACTTTGGAGTGTCTGTGAGCAGTTTTTAAAGAAGTTGGAACAAGGCGTTTGACAGGTTCACATGAAGTGGCTCACCTGTTCTTGGGAAGCAGGTGTCTTCCAGCAGCCAGATGGAAGTGCATTGACATTTACATATAATCAGACTGTTTGCAAAATTTCAAGCCCTGCGCAGTTGAATTTGAGGTACACTTAGAGCTCACTCTTTTATTTTTTATTTATTTATTTGAGACAGAGTCTCTCTCTGTTGCCCTGGCTAGAGTGCTGTGGTGTCAGCCTAGCTCATAGCAACCTCAAACTCCTGGGCTCAAGCAATCCTCCTGCCTCAGCCTCCCAGAGTGTTAGGATTACAGGTGCCAGCCATCGCACCTGGCCTAGAGCCCGCTCTTGTCTGAGCTGTGATCTTGAGACAGAACTCGGCAGTAGGAAATAACCCAGAAAACCAGTTACACATAAATTTTAGGAAAAGCTTTGGTACGTGTTGTCGGGTGGAGGGGCATGGAGGAGTCCTGAAGGAGGAGCTCTATATTACTGCCCCAGAACGTCATATATGCAGAGAGCTGATTTCCAGGAGTGGGGTGCTAAAAAGTTCTTAATCCCAGCAGATAAGCTATCTCCTTACTTTGGGAACTGCTTCCATCCCTTCAAAAAAAATAAGGTTGATACAGAATGTTCTACAATGTTGTGTTCAGTGTATCAAATGCCTGTGTTTTAAATATAAACAAACCAGTTAAAATTGAATAAGCCCCAGGCTCTTGAGTATTGATAAAAGGGAAATGTAGATCTCTGACACTTTTTTTTTCTTTTAAATTTTGAGGTCATAGAGGGACAGGTAGTCTTGTTTTCTATTTCACCAGAGGGATAGTACGGGGAGGTGGGGCACAGCTCTGGCAGTGGGTGCTGAATGATCAACTGCAGTCGCTTAAATGCCGCCTGCTGCATGAGTGTAAAGCACATAAACTGTGTGACCTCTCTTTTCTGTGATTCAACTTAATTACTAATTCTGGTCTCTGGTAGCGGTCAAGATCAAGAAAAATAAGGATAATGTGAAGTTTAAAGTTCGATGCAGCAGATACCTTTATACCTTGGTCATCACAGACAAAGAGAAGGCAGAGAAACTGAAGCAGTCTCTGCCCCCTGGTGAGTGAGCCTGAAATGAAATGGGAGGGCGGGTAACAGACTGACCAAAAACAGGGAAGGTTGCCGTGTTGTTTCAAATCATCCCCAGATTTGGGAAAGCCCATTTTGTGGTTTTTCTAAGTGTCCGCTCTTGCTGTTGGTAGTGCAGGGAGTGGTTGTGATTCCCCGGTTCTGTCCAGTACCAGAAATAGTTCCTTGGCCAGAGGAAAGTTTTTGGTTCATTTAGTCCTCACCCCAACCCTGCGAGGCAGTTGCTAGTACTGATGGTGCCCATTTTTACCGGTAAGGGAGCTGTCTGAGTATCATAGGCCAAAGACTAACTTCATGTTTTAACCAGAACCTTCCTGGTGGGCATAATTTCTGAGCCTTTTGAGCTCTCTTTAGCTTAAGTACAAAATCAAGACAAGCGGCCGCAACTCAGTGTATCTCCTGCGTGACTCGCTTCTTTGTCTCTTTTCCTCTAGGTTTGGCAGTGAAGGAGCTGAAATGAACCAGACATGCTGATTTGAACTGTATTAAAATTTTTAAAAATTCTTAAGTGTCCTTTATGTCTGACATGGGAAGGGAAATGCTGCTTGGTGATGGCTTCTGGTGGGAATGGGACATGGGTCCTGGTTGCTAATCCCTAAGCTTGGATGAGATCTCAGTGGACAAATGAGACCATCTTTTTTTAGCCTGAGTTTGGAAATCGACTTAGGGAGGCCATAACAGAAATAGGCAGCAGCATGGAGGGTGAGTTCACCGCATTCAAACAGGTCCACAAAGGCCGACTCCTGACATGGGTGCAGCAAGGGCCTAGCTGGCCTGACTCCAGGGTAATTAAATACTGGTTCTGCCACTTACTAACCCGAATGATTTTGAGAAACGCCTTCCCCTCTACCCCTATTTCCTCAGTTGGAAAACAGCCATATTGATACCTTTTTCATAAGGCTTAAATGAGCTAGAACGGCTCATGCCACTTAATACTGGCAAGTTTCAGTGAGGTGTGGATATGGGGTCATGTGGAGACAGACCACAAGGTGGCACCATGCTGCAACAAACAGTCCCCAGTAAATGTCTAGAAATGGTTCACATAAAATTCGCTCTCAAGTGTCTGATTGCCTGAGATAGTTGGTTTTTTTCATCTTTTAAAAGTGTGCTTGGTATTGTGTTAAACATTTAAACATAAGCAGGTTGTGATGGGCAAGCACCAGTCTGAATATTTCTATAAGAATTGTAAGGGTGAGAGGTTTTTTAAATCTGGCTGTGAGTTTACTGGAAGGCCTGGGTTTTGTTTCCTCCAGGACAGGGTGTGTACACAGGGTTACCCAGAGATTGTCAATAGACCCAGATGCGGCCATTTCGGCTTTCAGTCTTCCCCATTCTTTTAACATTTAAGATTCCCAGGGAAGAGCGAGAGTTTACCACTTTGGCTTTCTTTGTCCCCAGCACATTGTCCAGAGACTCGGGCCAGCTCCTAGGAGACAAGCCCTGCGGGGATTTGTCCGCCCGTCCAGAGAAGGCATCCTTTCATGCAGTGCTCTGCAGCGCTGGCTTGTGCCCTACAGTCATTTGAGGCACTTATAAACAATTTAGTATGGTGGCCAGGGCCGACTGCAGAGATTCTGATGACGTTGGTTTGGAGCATAGGTTTGTTTTTTTAACCCTCAAGTGGCAGACTGTCACCACTGCCTTGCTGAGGCTTCAGTGAGCTAAAACCTACACACTTAGGGTGATGTGTGAGCCACAGGTGCTGGCTTCAATTGGGCAGGGGACTCTGGAATGCTGTTCTGGAGTCCTTGGGAGGTCTGCAACTGTTCTCCCTCACTGACTCACCTCTCTAGGTCAGCAGGCCCCCCGGGAAGCTGCTAGAGTAGTCCACCGGTGAAGACCGCCTTTGCAGGTTTTGGTATTGCAAGCTGCACCCAGGTAGCCCTGAGGGAGTTTCTGCAGTTAGTGGCTTCAAGTGTCACATGCAGGCCTTGCCCCCTCCCTCTACCCCTCCTTTTCTGGTGCCCAGCCCCAGCTGCTGGGGTTCCCCTGTACCAGGTCAAAGTCAATCCTGGAGTGGCCACCCACTGACCAGGAGACAAACATCTCCCACTAGGGTGTCTCCTGTTGCCTCCTTTCTCTCCTAAGGCACCGAGCAGGTCACAGTTGTGACTCGTCTCTTCCTAGAGGAATGACATCTATAACTTTTGAGTCAGTTGAACACTGGGTGGTGTTTGGGAGGCTTTGTGGCAAGGATAAGCACCTTTATATTATAGCCTTATGTGCCATTGACCTGGAGAAGGAGGTGACTTGTGCAAGGCACCAGGGAGTGCCTATCCCGAAGGTTCCGGGAAGAGGGTGGGTTGTGCCACGTCCTCAGGCCTGTTACGTGCCCCCTGAGGGCATGGGCTATTTCGGGGCCCCTATGAGATCCATTTCAGGCTCATTTTCCTCAAGAACCTACAGTGGCCGTGGCCAGGGGTCAAAGACCAAAACCCTTACCAGGGCCTGGGGGACACTAGAATCTGGCTCTGCCTACCTCTCTCTTGTTTTTTGTTTGTGTGTTTGTTTGTTTAGAGACAGGGGTCTTGCTATGTTGCTCAGGCCGGTCTCCTAGGTCCAAGTGATCCTCCTGCCTCAGCGCCTCAAAGTACTGGGATTACGGGCATGAGCCACTGCCCCTGGCTTAAAGTGAGGGCTTTTTTGTTTTTTTGAGGTACAATTGACAGTGAAGTTAACCCTTTTTGGTGTACAGTTCTGTGAATTTTGACAAACACTTGGAGTTGTGTAACCACCACTGCAATGGAGAGAATGTTTCTGTGACCCATAAAAGCTCCCTTTCCCGCCCCAGCCTGCTAGGCTGATCTGCGCCCGCCCCTGCGGCTCTCCGGGCTCCTGGACCCCCTGGCTCGCTCCAGCACTGGCAATTTCCTCCCCTCCCCCGCCGCGTCCCAGATCTCACCGGGCCCTGCTCTGCTCAGAATTCTCCCCAGAACAACCCCAGTTCACTCCTGGTCATCCTTCATCTCGCTGTTGTCCTTCGGGAAACACCCCCAGCCCCAGACCCCAGCCCCTTTGCATGCCGCTGAACAGGGTTTGTAACTCATCACTGTGTTTGCAGGATAAAAGTCGGCCTCCGGGGATGCTAGGCTGTAGGTACGGCGCGGACAGGAACAGGGACACGTGCGCTTTATTCATCACTGTGAGATGAAGATGCTCAATAAAACTTGTTGAATTAGGGAAAGAAACCCCTGTGAGGGAAGGACGAGCGTTCCCGACCCCCTGCACGGAGTGCGCGCCTCGGCCTTGGGCACGCGCAGATGCGATGGCAGCTGTCCGGCTCCGGGAATGATACGGGTTGGCGACCACCAGGAGAGGGCCCGATGGCAGGCAGGACGGGACTCCCTCTTCTGGCCCGAGGGTCTGTGAGCCCGGGGCGACTTGGCCCGCCCCTTCTAGCGGCCGCGCGTGTTTGCGGGCGTTTGCGGCCCCGCATCCGCTGGGTCCCCCAAGCCGAACCCTAGGAGCCCCTCCTCTGCCCGGGGGGCCTCCTTTCTCACCGATGGCTCTGCCCCGGCCGCTGCGCACCCTCATACTGGCTGCCCAGCGCTACCTCCAGCCAAGCCCGAGCCTGTCGCGACCCCTTCACCCCACAGACCTGTGGCGGGTGAGCTGCCCTCCACCCTGCCTCCAGCCTGAGCTCCTTCCTCCCGGGTCACGCCTAGCGGTTCTCGGCTGCAGGACGGGTTCGGCCTCCGCACTTGCGCTCAGCACTGGGGGCCCGAGGGGCGCGAGGCTCCCCGGGTGGGCGGCCGCTCCAGACGCTGCTGGGCCCCTGCCTGGCTTTGCATTTCTCCAACTCACCCAACGAATAGCGCGCGTTGGACGTCGAGTGTGGACTGTCATCGCACACAGAACTGCCGTGCCCTCCGGGACAAGGGCTTTTGTCTGCTTTCGTTCACTGCTGTGACAGTGCTGGGCACTCATCCCTACCGGGCGCTCCCACTGCTCTCCCGCCCTCCTCTCTGCACAAATCAAAGGTTCCTTCCTCCAGGAAGCCCACCCTGTCCCTCCTGCCAGGAAGAAATTAAGCGACTTTTTTCAGTCCCCAAGACACCTCGTCCTCACTCAGAGAGCCTTGTAGGCGACATCAGTTAATTATTGGGGCTGATGGGCTGGGAGCTCCTGAGAGCAGGGACCACATCTCTGTTTTTGTTTTTTTTTTATTGAGACAGAGCCTCACTCTGTGCAGTAGAGTAGAGAGCAGTGGCATCAGCCTAGCTCACAGCAACCTCAGACTCCTGGGTTCCAGTGATCCTCCTGCCTCAGCCTCCCTAAGTAGCTGGGACTACAGGCGCATGCCACCACACGCGGCTAATTTTTTATATTTTTACTAGAGACTGGGTCTCACTCTTGTTCAGGCTGGTCTCGAACTCCTGAGCTCAAGCGATCCTCCCGCCTCGGCCTCCAAAGTGCTAGGATTACAGGCATGAGCCACCGCGCCCGGCCAGGGACCACATCCTATTTCCCTTTGAGTCCACATGATTTACACAATAGATGCTGAATAAATGATGGAGAGTTAATTTAGAACGAGTGACCGAGTGGCTGAATATTGCTTCCTTCCCTCCCCAATCCGTAGGTTTGCTCACCCTGTAACAAGCCCTGGGGACGGCCGGCCTCGCTTCTCGGGCCATGACTGCTAGCTGCACTCATTCATTGACACTTTATAGCTTTGATGCGATAACTAATTAAGAAGCCCGGGGCCTTAGAGGCTGAAACAGTTTAGAAGAATTCTGGAAGCTTTTTCACTTCTACTTCCCCCTCTTTCGCCCGTCAGGCCAGGACAAATCCCAGCCCAGAGAGGGGCGCCCGGCTCCTGGGGCTGCGCGCTCGGGACCCGGTCCTGGCCGAGAGAGGGGCGGGGCGGGCGCGCTCCCAGGGGGAGGAGGGGCCCGGGGCGGGGCGGGGCCTGGGACGGGGATGGGGGCGGGGCGGGCGCGCTCCCAGGGGGAGGAGGGGCCCGGGGCGGGGCGGGGCCTGGGACGGGGATGGGGGCGGGGCGGGCGCGCGGCCCGGGCCGAGTGGCGGCTGCAGCTGCGGCGGCAGCGAGCGGGTGGCACTCCGGCCGAGCCATGCCGGCGGCGCGCGTGGAGTACATTGCGCCCTGGTGGGTCGTGTGGCTGCACAGCGTCCCACGCCTCGGCCTGCGCCTGCAGCCGGTAGACAGCACCTTCAGCCCCAACGACGAGAGTTACCAGGAGGTGAGTCTGCGCCGCCCCAGACCCGGACCACGCGCGCCCCAAGTCCCCGCACCTCCCCTTCTTCTCTCGGCAGCCCGCACTCTCCCACGCGCCTCTCAGACTCCTTCTCTCCCCCACGCCGCCCCTCCGCCGCTTCGCGTCCCTTCCCGCCTTCACTCTCCAGGCCCTTGGCCCGAGGCCCCTCCGGCCTTGGAACCTCGAGAGCCAAGAAAACTGGAAAGATCGGAGTTAAGCCGGCGTTGGGCAGGGGAGGAAGGGCCCGAGGCGGGGGCAGAGCAGCGCGGCGTGCGGGCATCTAGAGGGGTGCCCCGACGTTTTCCACCTTCCGATGTCCCAAGACCGGGCACTCTCTTTCCGGGGCTGCCTGGCCTGGGAGAAGTTTTGGCAGAAACTGACTTGAGTCTCCCTAGTCCGTCTCCGCAGCACGCCTCCTCCCGGCCCTGCCTGCAGGGTGGGAGCCGCTGCCACGACCTCTGCCTGGGCCCCTTTGGAAGGCTGAAGGGCTGGGAAGGCGGCGTGGGTGACTTCCCTCTAGCAGGCAGAGAACCAGCAGCTGCCTGTGTTTGTTTCAGGGAAGGAAGGTGGCCTCCGATCAGCCCCCTCTCACACTGTCGTCCTGAGAACCCCCTCGTGTTGTCAGCCGATCTCTTCTCTTTGTCCTTTGCTTGGTCCTGGGCTGCCCCATTCCTGTTCCCCCACCCCACCCGTTCTAGGCCCTGAATTTCTGAGGTCAGGGCTTCTTGGCCAGCCACTCCCCTCATCCTCTCACTGCTGACCTCCCCTGTCCTGCTTGCCCTCCGCTCTGCTGGTTTCTGCACCCCATAGCTAGGGCCAGGGCTCCCCAGACCTCCCTGCCCAGACAGAGCTGCAGAATCTCCCAGCCTGTCTCAGGTCTGGTCACACCTGCTCTGGCCCTGTGTTCCGGCTGAATCAGTACCCCCATTGGGTCAAAAATTCATGGGCTGGGTGGCCCAGGAGAGGGCACATTTATTCAGAGTTGTGCGGCCATCTCAGGACTTTGACCCCCAGACTGAGTCTGCCTGCAGTGTCAAGTTCTCCGGTATGGGGCAGGTCGGGGCAAAGCAGGGCCTCTCTGGAGGCCTTTCTCCTGCAGGGCCCAGGGCATCCTGATCTGGTAGAGTGTGCACTGCTCAGGCACTGGTGACAGTGACAGGGAGTCTAATAATAACCCCTGGCCCAGGCAGACGGTGCCTGCCCTTCCAGAAGGAGAGGAGAATCAGGACCCCTTCCTGCTGTTAGGTGGGCACACAGGAGTAGGGCAAAGCAGTGCAATCGCACGCGCCCAGCTCCCTCCTGATCTGTCTGCCCCTCCCTCTCCCAGAGCCCTGCCTGTGGAAGTCAGAGTTCCCTGAGAATGTGGCTGCCTGGGGATAGCTCCAGGGAATCTTCCGCTCCCAAAGAATGCATGAAAAGAGGCGGATATGATTTCAGAGACAGCTGCGTTGTTGGGAGTGTGTGTGAGTGCGTGTGTGTGCGTGTGTGTGTGTGTGTGTGTGTGTGTGTGTCCCCCAAATCCGGTGCCCCAGATCCCACACCCGGAGTGTCCAACCATAGTTTTCTCCTCTCCACTGGAGGAAATCAAGAAGACCCCTAGTTAGGGGTAGGGACGGCACTTCCCCACCCCTCTGGCCCCAGAGACAGCTCCTTTCTGTCTAGCAGCTGTGGCTGGCACAGCCTGAGCTTGCCTCACCCCCACCCCACCCCCCAGTCCCACAGACAGGTGGCAGCTGAGCCAGAGGGACCCGCTCACGTTCTCTGCCCATCTCCTCCCAGGGTTCTGACCCTGGCACGCTTTGTGCTGGGCATCAAATGGCTCCAGAGGGCATCCCCTTCCTGTCAGCCACTGGTCCTGCCCAGCCCACCCCACCCTGCCCCATCACTGGGTGGGAGATGAGAGTGGTGGACCCGGACAGGAAGTCTGGCACTGGGTGTTATTTAAGGCTACTCCGGTTTTGGAGTTCCCCTGTTGTCTGACCACAGCCTCTCCCAGACGTAGCCTTTCCTCCTGAGCGCCAGTCACTGCCAGAGTCAGACGTTGGATCAGTCATCTCGGTCCTCAGCAAACTTGATTGGGGCCAAGCACCATGCCGGCCATGGGGTGACTGTGATAACCAAGGCAGTGGTGCCTTCGGGAGCAGCTGCTGAGAAGTGTCTGGGGCCAGCCCCTGGGCCTAGTGCTATCGGGTGGGGGCTCTGCCATCCAGCTGGTGGGTTGGGTTCCTAGTTCTTTCACTGTGTGACCATGGGTAGGTGTCAACCGCTCTGAGCCTTGCTTCCTTCATCTGCGACTATTAACTGAGACAGTCCCTGTAACGTGCTCAGTACAGAGTCCCGTGGCACATGATAGGACCCGGTGATATAAGTCATTAGATGGACTGGCCTTGAGGTTCAACAGCGCATCTCAGTGCAACACCCTGTAGAGGTGGAGGAGGGGAGACCTGTTCCACAGACACTGGCCAGGGGAGACGGAAAAAAACACATGCACAACGGGCTTCAGCTCCTGCCCCAAATGTCCAAATGAGCATTACAGGCTCGTGGGACGGTGCACATGGTACAGTGTACATGTGTGTGCGTGCATGCACGTCAAAGACTAAGAGAAGATGAAAACAGGCAGGCGTGGGTCTGGGGGAGCGGCCGAGAGGGGCATGGGATCTCGAAAGCAACGGGGGTCTGGGAAGTGCAGAGACGGTTGAAGAGCAGGCCGCCTGGGGAGGTGAGAGAGCCTGAGCAGACCCAGTGTTCCAGAACCCAAGGGAGTGGGGGCTCCCACTCATTTTCTCAGGTCTTTAAGAGCAGTGGAAGTCCCCGAGTCCCCGGATGGGTCTCTGTCCCCCTCCCCCAGCAGACTTGAGCCTTTGTCTGCCAGCCTCAGGGGAGGCTGCCCCCGGGGGCAGCAGAGGCCTTCAGGGTGAACACCAAAGCAGGCCATGGAGGAGGGAGCCTTGGCCCTGGTGGGCACCCGGCTCCAGGCCACCAAGCGTGGCTGTGTGTCTTGGAGGGGAAGCAGCCTGGACCTGCAGCCTGAATCTTCTCACCTTTGACAGGTGAGGAGGGTTGGATATGGAGACAGTTCCTACCTCGAAGAGATAGTAAGAGGACCGGTGAGTTAGCCGATACACAGCATGTGGCCAGTGCCTGGCACGTCGTAAATTGCCACAATCGCTGCTTGGGAAGGAGGAGAGCCCCACTGGCCAGGTGTCCATGAGCAGTACTGGGGACAACAGAAAGAGCACCTGGCACTAAATCCGGCTGTTTCTGAACAAGTGAACAAGCCATTTCAGTTCCCTCCTTGCCCGGTGTTGGTGCCACCATCCCCGTCTGCCCTGCCCCTTACGGGAGCCCAGACCCTGCTGAGCTAATACACTTGACACGTCTTAGTAAGCTCCAGACGCCGTGCACAGGGTGGTTGTTGCTACTGTCAACATGCAGCAGCCACATGTGTCTGCCTGTGCCAGCTTTCCTTGCCCTGGATCCGTAGACCACATTCTTTTGGGACACGTGTTGGGGGTAGCAGAGATGTTTTTAATAGTAATACTTTACATTTAGACGTGGATTTTCATGTGTTCCCTTTGGGTAGTTCAGGTCAGTCTCCCCAGAGAGTCCCAAATGTGTGTCCTTAGGCGGGGGAGGGACAGAGTGGGGGCTGGACCTGGAACTACAGGAGTCCCTGCTTCTGACACGAGGTGGGTCTGAGGAGGGAAGACCAGGCCAGGAGCTGAGGTCGGGATGAGGAAGCCCCATTCATGCAGTCCGAACTGAGTCACCGTCACCAGACAGTCACACTCAGCCTCGGGAGGGGGCCCTCCCCCTGGGTGCTCCTGGCCCCCCTCCCCCACCTCCCCTGAGGCCAGCTCACCTCGCCATACCTCTCCTCCGGGCTGGGGCTGTTGTCCCCTTTCTGCCCAGTGCAGACACCCACAGGTCCAGCTGCAGCAGTCACTGCTGCCCCCGGCTTGGGTCCTGGGTTGGTGCCCGCTGCTCTGGGTTGCTCATTACACAGTGACAAACCAGAGATAATTAAGTCACTTTGAAGACAGCAGAGGCAGTCTAAGCACTGATGTGGCAGCCGTGGGCATGGTATTGGAGCAGCGCGGGCAGTGCAGGAGACTGCAGGGCACAGCGGGTGACGTGGAAAGTTGTCCTTGCTGAGCTCTGTGCATCAGAGCAGGAAGGCTGTGAGCAGGTCTCGGCTCCCTCTTCCACCCCACCCCCATGCTCATGGGAACTTGCAGCGTTAATCAGCACCAGGAACATAACTGCCCATTAGAGAGCAGCAGGTGACACCAGGCTGGCCGTGGGGCAAGGTTCTAGTTAGGCCTCCACTTGCCTCCTCCCCTTCCTCTTACCCCCCATCTTCCTCCCTTCTCCCTTCCTCTTCCCTTCCCGCTCCTTCTCCCCCTCCCCCTCTGCCGCTGCCCCACCCACACCCCAGTGTCCTCCCAGCACCCAGAGAGGGTTCCAGGGAGGGTTTGGGAAGCGACCTGCTAACCAAAGCCCTCTGAGTTTGGGTTTCCCAGGCGTCGCTCCCGCTGGGGCTGGACTGCATTATCAGTGACCTAATTGAGGCCAGCTGCCCGGCTTGGAGAGCACCCAGGCCACAGAGTCCCAGGGCCTGCCGAGAGGCCAGGCTTGCAGATCGGGAGGCCGGAGGAGGCTTGAGAGAGTGTGAAACGGGGGAGCCGGCCGCACCGCCCGCAGGCTGACCGCTTCCTGGGGGAGCCTTCCTTGCTGGGTGGGGACACATGGCATATTTGGTAGGGGGTGGGAGGGTCCCATTAGGGATAGAAAGAGAGTGGGACTGTCCGGGAGGCAAACTAGAAGTAAAGGGTGGCTGTGGGGAGGGCTGGATGTTAGCCTCCTCCAGCCCACACCAGAGGTTTGTCTGGGATTCGGTTACAGTTTTTTTCAGTAGGAGTAACTTATGGGAAAGTGCACAATCTTAAGTGTGCCACTCAGTGAATTTATGTGTGCGTGTGTGCACGCATGTGTGTGTGTGAGGGACATCGATCCAATGAAAGAGTACTCCAGACGCCCCAGGATCCCCCTCACGCTCCCCCGCAAAGGTAGCTGCCATTCACACCTCCATCTCTATAGATGAGTTTCTCTGGCTCTGAACTTCATATAAATCAAACCGTATAGTCCCGGCCGTTTTGTGTCCGGCTCGTTTCCGTGAACATCACCTCTGTGAGATTCGTCCCTGTTGTGTGTGGCTGCAGTTTCCTTTTCATGGCTGCGTTGTATTCCATTTGTGACCATAACCCGTTCTGTATATCCATTCCCTTGCTGGTAGACATTTGGGTCATTTTGAGCGTTTGGCTATTACTGCTGTAAGCTGCTGTGAACATTTGTGTGTGTGTCTTTTGGGGAGGACATGAGCCCTCCTTTTTTGCTAGGTCATGGTATGCATGTTACACAGTGGTTTGCAAATTGTTACGGGGATCCCTGAGTTTCAGCAGAGGGGCCCCAGGGACAGGGGTGGCCAGGACAGAGTGTGGCATTTCCATGAACTCCTCAATCAGATGCAGCTCTGTATTTCAGGGCTCTGCCAAGTGAGTCAGTTAGAAGCAGCAGCTAAGCTACTAGAGAAAAGTTGGAGAACTTCTGTTGACGCTAATCCGGTGCTTCCCAGACTTCGATGGGATACACATTGCCTGGGAACATCTCTAGGTGCAGGTCCGATTCTCTGGGTCTAGGGCCTTCCCAGCTGCCTGGAGGAGGGTTTACAGTGCGCAGGGCTGAGGGGACCAGGGAAGCTGTAACTGTGACATGTTTGTCCCAGGTGGAGGTAAAGTCCACATTTTACGTGGAATCTATCTGCCCCCTTCCTGCGTGAGTCATCTCTCTTGCCCTTTCCTGGGCTGTCCCCACCACTGTGGCTGAGAAGCCTGTCGGTCCTGGGTGACGAGCAGAACAGCCCAACTCAGGGGTCCAAACACCTGCCACATCTCACAGGGCTGGGAAGTGTGGACTGCAGCAGGTGTCCCCACTGCTGTGCTCTGTCCCCCCGGAAGATGACCCCAAAGCCTCCAGGCTGCAGACCCCCGGCCTCGGCTTGTCAGGGCTGTCTCCCTGTGTGCCCGTCCCTGCACAAGCCTTGTCTCCCCCTTAGACCATAGGGTCCTGGAGACTCCCCCAGCCACCCCGATTGCCACCACTGGCCTGGAGGCTTCCTGAAACAGGCTCCCGTGACGGCCCGTACCGGACACCGGGGATTCTGGACTGGGAACCCCTCGGGGGCTCGTGGGAAGCAGGGGGCGGCTGTCAGCTCAGGAGCCTGACTTAGAGCCAGGTCCAGGCCTGGCTGGCGGCCACCAATCCCGGTGCCATCTGGTGTCCATCTGGCGGAATCAAGAGATTGGAGGGCAGAGGGGGGCACCCAGGCCCCCTGACAGACAGCAGCTCCCTGTGCAGGACCCTGAGATGCTAGGCCAGCCTGAGAAGGCTCCTCCCGCGCCCCTCAGAATTCTGGCTTGGCTGCGTCCCCTGGCAGCTGGGGTTAGCTGTCCCTGATGGGACACAGGGGAAGGAACCCCACGGGTTGCAGATCCTCACTCTTCCCATCCCCGCCCCAGCACAGAGCTGGCCTCTTCTTTCTCTGGATGGACCGCGACACCCAGAACAGGCTCCTTACATTCCGCGTAGAAACTTGTGACTGCGCTGACAGTACCCTGTGCGCAGAGGAGGCAGCAGATAGGCTGTGCTGTCCCCACCTGGCCGGGTCTCAGGTCCCACTCGGTGTCCCACCCAAGGCCACCATGTGCTGTCGTCCTCATGGGTGTCCCTCTCCTTGTCTGTCTCCCTCCGCCATGGGGCTCACCGCCCACAGCCCTCACTGTGACAGTTGTTGACAATTCCTGCCTTGTCTCTTGAGTGGCTCAGAGCTCTTCATCAGCAGGGCCTGGTCCGGATCTTTATCCAGGTGTGTGAGCCGGAAACCAGGGACCGCCTTGGCAGCTCCTCCCCCTCGGCTGGCCGCCAAGCCCACCACTTGTCCTCGTGCCCTCTAAGCTCCGTCACTGTCACCCTGGTGCCTCCGTGCCAGAGTAGGAGGAGAGAAGAAGGGACAGACAGAAAGGGTGGGTGACAGACACACAGCTCAGCCCCTGTTCCTACACCCACAGTCTGGGCAGAAGGACATTCAAGGCCCAAGGGCAGACGTTTCCAGAACCCACCACTGACAGGCCACAGAGCTGACAACAGGCCTCTGCTCTCTTCCAGTCGCTGCTGTTCCTGGGGTTGGTGGCCGCCGTCTGCCTGGGCCTGAACCTCCTCTTCCTCGTGGCTTACCTGGTCTGCGTGTGCTGCTGCAGGCGGGATGATGCGGTGCAGACCAAGCAGCGCCACTCCTGCTGTGTCACCTGGACAGCGGTGGTGGCCGGGCTCGTCTGCTGGTGAGCGTCCCTCTGCACTGGGCCCGGGTGCCGCACAGACTGCAAGGGAGCAGGGCCGAGGTGGCCTCGGCAGCACGCAGGGTGAAGAGCCCACTTGCTCGGGCCTGAGCCACCCGTGTCTTTCTGATGGTTAGCCCTTGACCCTGACACCCCTGCTCTCCCCCAGCAAGCCCTAAGTGGCTCATCGGCGGTCTGGCCGTGTTCTCCCAACTGAGCTCTGGCGATCTTGATGGAAAAGATGTCCCCAAAATGAATCCTGTCCAGCCTCGGGAATCAGAGACCTGGGGTGGTGACGGGGGGTCTCCAGAAGGGCCCCTGGCCCCCAACCCCTGCCCCGATGTGAGTTTGTCCGTGGCTGCTGTGCCTGGCTGCCACACAGGCTGCTCCCCGAGTTTACTGGGCGGCATAACCAGGTAGCGGGCACCTCCACTCCCTGTGTGCCGTCCCCTCCCAGCTGTTGCCCTGGGTCCGTAAGGTCAGAAGAGAGTCTGACTCCAGTCGGATCAATTCCATCTTCTTATGAGATCGATAGCTTTTAGTGCCCCTGGGCGGGTCTGTGCTGCGGAAGTGAAGATTCCTAGCTCCCGTGCAGGCGTCGGCACTGCCCAGCCCGCTCCACCCGGGCAGTGTCCGCACGCACGCTAGCTGTTTTCAGGAGTTGTATTTTCCTTTTTTTGTTAGTTTTATTTATTTTTTGTGGAGACAGGGTCTCCCTGTGTTGCCTAGTTTGGTTTGAACTCCTGGCCTCAAGCGATCCTTGGCACCTCCCAAGGTGCTGGCATTACAGGTGTGAGCCACCTCGCCTGGCCTCGTTCTTGTTTTTGTATCTATAGAGGCCTTTCCGAGAGCCTAGTGTGAGCACGCCCTGGGTGGAATCCCCCACTACTTGGCAGCAGGACGGGAGCCAGACGGGAGCCCGGTGAGCCTGGACTCTCACCCCAGCAGCTCACCTCACTACCGCGCTTTCCTTCTCCATCGGAACATGTTCTTGGTCCCGTCCTGCCTGTAGCGGGCTCACCTAAGCCAAAAGGCGGGCAAGGCCCAGAAGCCACCTTGCAGGGGTGACAAAGCTCTGAGCACCTAGGAAGGGCTAAAATAATAGGCTCAAAGGTCAGAGTTCAGCCCAGGTCAGGAGTTCAAAGGCAAGTTTGATTCCGTGTGGGGAGGAAGAGCTCCTGAGAAGTAACTGTGGCATTAAAAACCCTCCTGCCGAGGGCAGGTGGCAGCGCAGGGTTCGCAGGGAGAGGCAGGGCCCTGGGGACCACCGGAGAAGCCAGCAGTGCCTGCTACACAGGGGCCCCTGGCTCACGTGAACTCAGGTTTAAAAAAAGAAAAACACACAACAAACTTGTTTTTCAAGAGTCCTTTGGAACAGTAAGAATGGTTTTGGGGGGCAATTCTGGTAAGTAATAATTACCCACAGTTTAAGGACAACTCGAGGCAGGAGAGTGTGTGGCAGGGTTCGTTCCACAGCATCTGCACGTAGCTTGTGCCAGGCAAGGGGAGCCGGCGGTGGGAACACAGGCCCAGCTCCGCCTCCCTGGTCTTGCAGCTCTGGGTGTACTGGGAGAGGCAGAGGATTGCACACTCGCGTGATTTGAGTGATTGCAAACTAAGGAGAGTGCCCCAGAGGTAAGGGACAGGCATGAAAGTGGGTGTCCCACTCGCGATGGGCATCCCTGGTTGCGAGGACGCCGAGACCCAGGGGATGAGAAGCGTTACCTAGGCAAAGGTGGGGATGAGGAAGGAGGAGCGACTTCCAGGCAGAGGGAAGAGGACACGTGCAAAGGCCTGTGGCGGGAGGGAGCGTGGAGCTGGAGGAAGCCCCCCTGCACTCAGAGCTGTGGACAGCCTGGACTGGAGCGGCTCACTCCGAGGCCACGGTTAAGAGTGTCGCTGACCAGTTAGAGTTGACTCCAGAGGACAGTGATGACATGGACAAGGGTCTGAAGACCTTAGCCCAGAGAAGGACACGCGTCCAATGCAGACAGCAGGAGGTGAAGGGGTGATGTGCAAGCCACGTCCTGCTGTCTGACCGGGTGTCACGCAGAACTGGAGGCTTATTCCGGGCTGCCCAGGAGGCAACCCAGGACCCAGCAGGTGCCAGGTTTAAGGAGGAGGTTTCGGCTCGGTATAAGAAGGAACATCCTACAAGCTGCCACATGGGCGCCCTGGGGATGTTGGGCGGGGACAAGGTGGAGAATGGTGAGGGGGTCCCCAGTTCCCGGAGGTGTCGGGTGAGACCCAGGGTCGGCACTGGGCGTGTGGGCTCGCCAGACCTCAGCGGTCCCCGAGCCCACCGTGTGGGGATCACCTGGGCGCTGGTGAAAGCGCAGGTGCCTGGGCCCCACCCAGACCCGCCGAAGCAGAGTCCCTACGGCGGGCCCACAGCCTCCCTCTCAGAGGACGGCATTTTCCTATTGCCTAGTGAAGTGTGGACAAGCTTCAGGGGCAAGCTGGCTCCTGCTCTGTGACTTTGTGTGATCCTGAACCTGCCAGAACTTGAGATCTCCTTGCCCCCACCCCCCAACCCCATCCCCAGGAAAGAGTTTCCCAGCTAAAGTCAAAAACCTGCTCTCCATGGGTGTTTATAGCGGCGCTACTCATAATTGCCAAAACTTGGAAGCATCCAAGACGTCCTTGAGCAGGTGAACGGATAAACAAACTCTGGTGCATCCAGACAACGGGCTGTTACTCACTGTAAAGAGAAATGAGCTATCAGGCCGTGGGAGTAACGGAGGAGCCCTAGCTGCACGTTAGGAAGTGAAAGAAGCCGTCGCGAAGGGCCGCATCTGTATCATCTCGGCTGAACGACATTGTGGCGAGATCAGAGGTTGGGGAAAGGTGAATGGTTGGAGCACAGGGGCTCTCTAGCGAGCGGAACCGCTCTGTAATGACACCATGCGGTGGACACATGTCGCTGCCCATCTGTCCAACCCCCACGATGTGCAGCTCCGAGAGTGAGCCTAATGGGAGCTGCGGACTTCGGGGGACAGTGACGTGTCCGTCCAGGTTCATCACCTGTGACAGATGTCCCTCTCTGGTGCTGGACCGTGTTAGTGGGAGAGTCTATGCGTGTGGGGACAGGGGCGTATGAGAACTCCGTACTTTCCACTCCATTTTGCTGTGGACCTAAAACTGCTATAAAAAATAAAGTTTATTTTTTAAAATAAATACAAGCATTCTCCTGTGGGTGTCACCTCTAACCTTTGTTTGGGGTCTTGCTTGCAGTGCTGCAGTGGGTGTTGGTTTCTATGGAAACAGCGAGACCAACGATGGGGTGTACCAGCTGGTCTACTCCTTGGACGACGCAAACCACACCTTCTCTGGGATCGATGCTCTGGTAAGGCCCCTAGGCAGCTGGCCGGACACAGACGCGGCCGCCGGTCCGTGTGGTCATCTCCCAGGTGGATCCCAGCCAGCTCAGCACACCAAGGGGCTGTGTAGTGCCAGAGGGCTGGACCCCACTTCTGGGCTGCAGTTGCCCCTGCCTGGGGCGAAGGGGCCACTCGTACCTCCCAAGCCAGCAGGGGCAGCAAGAATGGGGGTGAGGACCACAGGAGGGGCGTGGGGGTGGCTGCGAGATCAAACACCGTTCATTTTCCAGAGAGCGGAACACTTTCCCATGTGTCAAAGGAGACCTTGAACGTGGAAAGGCAGCCCCACTGCATTTTTTTATATCCGTTTTAAGTGCTGCATACAGAGTATTGTGGGGTCCAGGAGATGTCAAGAGGAAAGCACTCTCTTCTGAAACAAGCGAAGAGCCCGCGAGGTGGTGAGATTTTGCCGGAAACCCGGTGGTGTGTCCCTAGGGCTCTGGCTTCTGGGCCGGGACTCCAGCTGGGGCTCACAGTGAAGGATTGTGCTGGGCTGGCCGGAGGAGGTGGCGGACTTTAGGGGAAGGAGAAAGCTATTCTGCTGAGCGTCTGGCCAAGCGACGGAGCCAGAGGGCAAGGGACCAGGGTTTTCTCAAACTCTGACCTTGGTCCCCCTGCCCCTGTCGCCTTCTCTCGAAGCCCCAGTCTCTTGGGCTGGTTTCCCAGGCAGCCCTGCAGTGGCCCTGGGTGCTCCCTGGGAGAGGCTCCCGCAGAAAGGGCAGAGGGCAGCGTTCAGGGAAACCAGTCCTGGGGCACACACCCCAGTCGTGATCCTCTCTGGGCTGGGTCCCCTACAGAGGGTGACAGCCACAGCAAAAGGCCCATTTGTGTCAAGCAGCCTCCGCCACAAAATCCAGCCCCAACCAGAGAACTTGGACATCACCCTGGCACCCTCTCGAAGAGGAGTCGACCTCATTTGCCCACTCCTGCTCCCTTAAGCTCCTCTAAGACTTTAATCCCTCAGTGGATCCCTTGGGGGGGGGGAGTTACCTTAAAGAGACAGCTGTGCCGCCCCTGTGCCCAAGACAGCTGGGGGAAGGGGCCCTGGCCTCCAGAGAAGGGCTGAGGATCCATGCAGACCCAGGCCCAGCTCCCCTGCTGAGCCCATCCAGCCACTGGTATCCGCTGGGACCCATCCCTGGGCACCTGAGAGCTGATGTCTCAGGTGTCTGGATGCCGGGCTAGGACAGCCCTGCAGGGGGCGGAGGGTGGCTGGGATGGAGGAGCTGAGGAACAGCCTCATGGGTGTGGCCTGGCCCAGCTGGGGGAAACGCACCCTCTGGGTACCCCACCCTCACCTCAGGCCCTGGTGAGGCAGGGCTCCAAGGTCGGTGCCCTCTAGGCTCTGTCTGCCCCTCTTCAGCCACCAGCACCGGACTGCTGGAGAGGGAACCTGGCCCTGAGAGGAAGCCCCGGCCCTGCCCCGCCCGGGAATCCCCAGGGCCCTGACGTCACTGGCTGAGGGAAAGTCCCAGAAGCACCCCGATGGGAAAACTTGAGTCCTCGTCCCACTGGGTGAGAGCTGTGCAGGGAGGTGAGCTGGGAACAGCCCCCCAGGCCAGGTCCATCCTCCGCAAGGTCTAAGAGTGCTCCAGGGTCAGGTCTGGACGTTTCGCAGCAAATTCCTCTGTCCAGAATCCCCCATCTCCCCAAAGGGAAGGGTCCCTCGAGATCAGCCCTTGGCCTCTCCCCCATTACTGAAACAAGAGGACAGGTGTCCCAGGGCTTTGTGACGGGAGCCGCTTCTGACTTCGGCATCCACCTCCTCCTCTGAGGTGAGCCAGGCCGCACTCCAGCCCCAAGGGCTCCAGGGCAGGCAGCAGACCCTAGAGGGCTTCCCAGATCTGGGGGGTGAAGTCCAAATATCAGATAAGTGGACGTTAGACGAGATAATGTTGGTGACAGTGCCTGGCAAACCACAGAGTGCGCCCCAGCTGGGGCGACTCTGATCCTGAGTGCTATTATAGCAATTACGGTAATCATGCAGTACAGAGGCTGGGACGGGAGGCCATGGGCTGCAAAGACAGAGTGGGGAGACTGGAGGACAGGTCAGTTGGAGTGTACCTGGGCCTTTTGGAGCCCAGGTCAGGCAGCTGGGTGGCCACCAAGAGGTCTTCTGGGGCCACACCCAGCACAGAGCTGGGTGGGCCTACTCCGAGCCCCCCTTTACTGGACTGGAAGCCCCTCCCCTGCGCCCTTCCGCCCAGAGGGACGCCTGTGCCAGGTGGGTAGGGGGTGGCTCAGGGTTCTGGAGGCCTGGCAGGGTTCTGGATCAGCTGCACCCCCCGATTTGGGGGGTCAGAAAGGAGTCATTTGGGGGTGATAGGTGGGCAAAGGCCCTTCTGTGGATCAAGCACCTTCATCCAGCCACCTGGCAAAGGGACCCTGTACACCTGGGGCCCCGGGGGCTCTGCTGCCTGGAGTTTGCGCCCTGTGTTCTGGCGGGCAGGTGACTCCCCCAGGCTCTCTCATCTGAGCCTGCAGCAGGCCGTGAGCAACACTTAGGTGAAGAAACTGAGGCACAGGAAGTTACCCTGCTGCCCCAAGGATGAAAACAAGCAGAACCGGAGCCCAGCCCATCTGGGGTCTCAGCCCCTCACCCCCATTGATCCGGCCTGTCTGTCCTTCCAACAACCTCCTTAAGCCGGGAGCTTCCTCCCTCCCAGAGGCTTTAAAACTGGGGCTTGCCTCAGAGCCTCCTGGAGGGCCCCGCCCCTGAAGTCTGTGGTTCGGTAGATCTGGGACCGGTAGATCTGGGGCCCACAGCGAGCATCTGTGATGATTCCCACGTGATGCTGAAGCTGCTGTCCCGGGGACCACACTTTGAGAACCGCTGCTCCATGCTGCGGGCGAGTTCCCACCACCTCCAGCGAGTCCCTCACCCCGCCCAGCCTGGGGAGCTGATCCGTCCGTCCCTCCTGTTCTCAGAGCTTCTCTCCGTGACAGAGAGCCTGGTCCCATCTCTGGAGAGGCCGCCCCACCCTGCCCTGGGCAGAGCGCTGTGTACTGAGCCTCTGTGGAATCGGGGTGGTGTGCAGACATGGGGAGCCGTGAGCTGATCAATGTTGTAATTCTTGTTTTTTTTTATTTTGTTTTGCTTCCTATGGAAAACCATCAGGAAGAAAGAGAGGGCCTGACAAATGTTTCTTTTCTTTTTTTTCAAGGAGAGATTGAAGAAATAGAAAAGTAAAAATGTGAGGCTACAGAAGGAGAATAAAGTGGTCTTATAGAAAAAGTTTACAGATTATTTTTTTTAATTTTTTTTTTTACTTAGCCCATTTTTCTGCACAATACAAATAATTTTAACAGCCCTTTGCTCTGAAGTTTCTTTGATACAATATGGAAATATAACAGTCTCACATTTATTGCTGGACTTGCTCATGTTATCACTTGATAAAAGTGCCGTTTGTGTCGGTGGTTACAAAGCTCTTGTACATTTTTTTGGTAAATTGAACAGAAGAGTTTATTAGGGCGACATTTGGTTATTGAACGCGCTTTCTCACGGCGTGGGGTTTTTCCCTGTGCTGCAAGCTGCTGACTCTGTACAACGTGGAATCTCCATACGCCACTATCTTAGCCCTTCACCAGCTCGAAGGAACCAAACATAAGCCCGAAAACGGAACAAGCCACTGACATTGTGAAAACAAAACAAAATGAAACAAAGAGCTATTCTCTTTCCTAGAACCAGGAACTCCCAGTGTCATGCGGATGTAAAAGGCCACACGGTTGACGTTAAGTCCCCACAATGCGGCCAGTTTGCCACCGGGAGTGGTATCTGATCGCCCTGCTTGCCGACGCTTCTGCCCCTTCTCGCGTGTTGTTTTTGCCTCCCAGACCTGCGGGAGCTGCAGGCTGCCGGATGAGGATTAGCACACTCTGCCCTCTCCCAGCCAGCTGTGCTTCTTGGTTCAGCTGACGGTTTCAGAACAACAAAGCCCTTCTTCCCCTGGCTGCCAGCACGCAGGCTCCGCGCGCTCGGAGCTGCCAGGCTGCACCCCCAGGCCCTGCGGGCACGCCCGGCTGTCAGAAAGCCCCTGCCAGTACCAGGTCTCCCTGTGCCCTCTGGAAGCCAACAGGGATGATCACAGCGTCGTCCTTCCATTTCCACCTTCACACAGACAGGTGCTTCCTTCGGGGTCTGCTCAACCTCAGGCCCTTGTGGCCCAGCCAAGGGACAGGAGCCTGGCTGCCCACCCAGTAGGACAAACATCCAGGGAGGACACATGAACACACAGAGAAGCCACTGGTTTCCTCCTGCCTTGTGTCCAGGCTCTTTGGAGACAGGATTGGGACTGTTTTGTTTTCGCCAAGTCCGATGGTTCTACCTGCACGCAGGTCCAACAACAAAACCTTGCTCTTGTAGGAGAGCTAGAAACCCTGTTAAGGGCATAAGAGGCCAAGACAGCAACATAGGAACTCTTCCATTTAACATTTTATTTCTCTAAAAGAGAGTTCGCAATACAAACTGTCAAAGTTTGAAGAGAATCTTCAAGGAAAATCGATTATTTTGTTGGTTTTCCCATATGGGCCTCTCTTTATTGGAAGGCACTGGGTCTTGAAGCCTGGGTCCTGGTTGAGGCCAGGTCAGAGCCTGTCCCCTGGCTTGAGGGACACGAGGGCTCGGTGGGTACTGGGGCCTTTGCCTTTGGTCCTTCCTCTGGGGCCGTGGGCTCATGAGATCCTCAGGGCGGGGGCGGCGTGGTGTGTCCGTTCAAGCCTGGGCAAGCCGCCTCTCGCTGCTGCAAAGATCTCCTCCCCCACAATAAGAATCAGGAACTTTACCTCCCTGGCTTTCTCCCACCCAAGGGCCAGACTCACAAGCCCCCCCCCCCCCGCTCCCGCCCCTCCCTAGGTTTCTGGAACCACCCAGAAGATGAAGGTGGACCTAGAGCAGCACCTGGCCCGGCTCAGTGAGATCTTTGCTGCCCGGGGGGATTACATGCAGACTCTGAAGTTCGTGCAGCAGATGGCAGACAACATCGTTGTCCAGCTCTCAGGACTGCCCGTGTGGAGGGAGGCCACCACAGAGCTGACCGAGCTGTCCGACCAGACTGCCTACGTGGAGTACTACAGGTGAGGGCGGCGGGGCTGCCTGGCTCCCTCCTCCAAACCTGCATTTGGGGCCTGGGCAGAGATGTGTCTTAAGAAGCCATCAGCCAGCATCAGGAAGACAATGGAGCTTGCAGGGGCCGAGTGGTGGGCATGCAGAATAGCCATCCTGACAGACAGGAGCCAGTGTGCCCACAGTCGCGGCGCTGGAGGCTGGACCTGGCCTCCAGCATGTGTGGGGTGCTCCTCCCAGACCGGCATGCTCCGTGGCTGGTACTGGGTGAAGCCACATGGTTTATAGGTTCCTCACCCACCAGGACCTATGAAGCAGGCTCCCCTGGACCTACACACTAAGCCACAGGGGTGCAGGGGGCTGGGGAGGTGGTGGCCTCTTTGCGTGGAGCCTCCCCTGATGGCAGCTTCGCAGCTCCCCAGCGTGCCCCAGCCTCCGTATGCAGAGGCATCGCCCTCACCCTCCCCACCCTCACTCAGGTGCACAGGCTCATCCTCATCCCTACATCGTAGCCTTTGGGATCCTTTCACATCTCCCCTGTGCCCATCCCAGGTGGAGGCACTGGGCACAGAGACAGCTGCCCTCCCTCCAGGTGCAGGGTCTAGCGAAGGTCACTCTGGGGAGAGCCGAGGACCAGAGTTCAGCCTTTGGGTGACTCCCAGTTGAGAGAAGCCATTTGTGAAGTGCAGGTCATCGTCCTCCCAGGGGCCGTCGCCTAGCATGGAGCAGGCTTGAGGGCGGCGTGGGTCCTTGAGTCATGCAGAACAAGTGTCAGCTCTCTGGACAGGCCCCCCACCCCGATTTGCTGGCTCCTCTCCAAGGCATCGACAAAGCTCAGAGCCTTTAGCCCAACAGTGCACGACTTACTCTGGTTTTCTGGATTTGTCCCCCTGTGTCGTAAAGCCCCACCCCAGGAGGTCACTGCTGGACAGAGTCCAGGGCCCTCTCCCCTTCCCCAGAGTAGGAGACGGCAGGGCCCCAGCGAGGGGCGCTTGTGACGTCCCTGGCTCTGGACGGCACTCCCCGTCCCCTGCCTCCCCGGCCTGTCCAGCCCCTGCATTTCCGTAGTGTCACGGACACTCTGGATTGGAGAGGACCTTGGTCTAACTCTCCAGCAGGTAGATACTTAGGAGCAAAAGTGCCTCCTCCCAAGGGACAGAAAGAAACTGCCAACTCTGAGAACTGCCTGTGACCTCTTGTGGCCCAAACAGTGGTCTCTGATGAGTCCTGTGACACGTGGGCCATTCCTTGCCTGAGCCCTCAGAATCTTTATGTCTGGGTGGCACTGGGGTGGGGCACAAAGGAGTCCATTTCCACCTTGCTCTTCCCTCCCTGTACACCTAGCGTAGGGCCCTGCACATTTAAGGGCCTCACGTGGGCATTGCGACAATGACATTGATGAAATAAGTCAGCGTTGACATATCAAAAGGGGCTCATTGTTAATGATTTCATTAAAAGTAGGGGAAGGATGGTGGTGCCTGCACAGCTGCTGTTTCAGTGTGGGTTATTGGGGGGGTCCCCGTGACCCCCAGCTCCCACCCCTTATTTAGGTAGAGGCAGGAAAGGTCTAGTCCAGGTTGCACCTGTCTCCTGAGAACTCACGGCTCTGCCTTCCCTGTGACCGGCCCCCTCACCCGGGCTGCTACCCAGCCTCTGCCCAGCTCCTCTGGAGGGCTCCCCGTCTTTGCTTTTGGGGTGGTTCTTGAGCAGAGCCATCAGCTGAGCAAATATTTCTGAGCACTTTTGCACGAGGGCTGGCCAAGTACTGGGGGAAGTGAGAGCGAGAGGCTGCTCTCCGAGAGGCCTTCACGCGGGAGCAGGCGGGATGGGGAGGAGGTGGGGGAGTGGGAGAGCCGAGTTCTGGGTTAGAAACACCCGCCAGCCCCCACCAGCCCCCGCCCAGCTCCTCCGGGAAGACGCATCCGCCTAGAGAAGCAGTTTCCAGGAAGCCCTACGACATGAGACCTGGACGCAGAGAAAGTGCTCGGATCACACTGCGGACAGCGGGTTGGAAGCAGCCCTAATTGGATTTCCTGCTGACGGACGGAGCAGGGCTGGGCAGTAACCAGGAATCTTTAGATTTGAAACATGCAGCCAGTGTTCGAAGAGGTTCCCCGTGGCTGGCTGTGTCCCCTGTGGGAAGGGTCGAGGTGGACAGTCTGGAATTCCTGCACCAGGCTCTCCCCACGATGGTCCTCTGTTTTCTAATCTGTAGAATGGGATACTAAACTAGATGATTCCCGACCTTCCTTCTAGCTCTGAGTCTAGGAAAACTGGCTCCTTGGTGGCCTCCAGCAAGTGGAGGGTGGGCTCTGCCCGTTCCCCAAAGTCCCCGACCCCATTCCTGGGAACCCAGAGACCTACTGCGTGCTGCCCCTGCTCTGTGCGGGGGTCAAGGACTTTGATTAGTCCCCTGGATTCACAAAGTCAGAAGGAACCTCACTTGGCAAAGGGGCCTCCAGCTCACTCCCTCTGCCACCCCTGCCCCCCCACTTGGAGCCTCTATGTCACTCTCTGCCGGCCGCACCCCCTCCCTACCCACACCCCCGACTCCTGCTGGCCCTCTGTGGTGTCAGTGCAGGAGAAAACCACTGCTGGGAAGGATGCTCAGCACATTCACGTGGCTCTTGCGTCAGGAGAAAGCTACTAGCCACGTGTGGCTGTTTAAATCTAGTTAACAATAAAGTCAAAAACTCATTTCCTGAGTGGCACAAGCCACATTTCAAGTTCTCGGTAGCCACTTGTGGGTGGTGGCAGATAGAGTGGACAGGACAGATTTAGAATAGTTCACCACTGCAGAAAGTTCTAGCACACAGTGCTCGTTCAGACACTCGGCCATGAGGTTGATGCAGGGGGTGGGAGGCGACGGCTTTATCCAGGCAGACTTGGGGTGTAGTCCCAGAGCCCCGGCAGAGTCCTTCAGCCATGCACGCGGGGTGCTTGCTGGCTCTGGGCAGCTTGTTGACATGAAGGGTCAGGTCAGCCTGGGGGCTGCTACGTGGGCCTCCCAGGTGGGCGGCAGGCAGGGAGTTCTCCCTGCTGCCCTGACCATCCCCGTCCCCCACCCAGGTGGCTCTCCTACCTCCTGCTCTTCATCCTGGACCTGGTCATCTGCCTCATCGCCTGCCTGGGACTGGCCAAGCGCTCCAAGTGCCTCCTGGTCTCGTGAGTAGCCCTGCCTGTGGGCGCGGGACAGCTGGGCAAGGTGCCAGCGTCGGAGAGAGAGCGGGCCTGGCCAGGCCAGAGTGGGGGGCAGCAGCCAGCCGAGGGGAGACAGCAGCCACCGACTCACCATCTGGTCACCAAGCAGGCACCGGGCCCTTGTGCTTCCCTGTTGAGCAGCTGGAGAAACCTGGGCCCAAGCGTCAGAGCCCCCAGTCGTGCCCGGTGTCGCCAGCTCCCGGCGGCAGGCTCCACAGCCTCTCCCGGCAGCCGGCAGGCGACGTCAGGGCAGGGACCGAGGCTGCCTTCAGAACCGCTGCAAGGGCTGGGGCCGGGAAGGGCAGGATGGGGGCCGGGAAGAGAGCGCTGGGGGTTGGTGGGGTGGCAGCCATCACGGGGGGACGCCTGCCAGCCTTTGCCCGGGACTCCAGCAGCGTCTGCCTCTCCCTAGGATGCTGTGCTGTGGGGTGCTGAGCCTGTTCCTCAGCTGGGCGTCCCTGGCCGCGGACGCTGCTGCAGCGGTGGTGAGTTGGCGGGGGCCGTGGGTGGTGGTGGTTTGTCCAGGACAGTCTGGTGATGTGTCCTGTCCAGAGCCCCCAGGCAGAGCCAGCTTCCAGTCACAGCCCCTGACCTAGAATCCCAGCATCTCAGAACCAAAGGGGTTTGGGTCGTGTGGACCAGCCCCGCAGCCTCACAGGCAGGGAAACAGGCCCAGAGAAGGGCAGGGGCTTGCCCAAGGTCGGCACCAAGATAGATAAGACGCCACCGCTTACCCAGGCATGTGTGGTGACCAGGTGGCTTCTCTCTGGGTGTGAAGAGCTGACAGGCCTGGCAGGGATCAGGCTAGAGGAGCCCCCAGCTTCAGAAGCACACCCCTGGCCAGCTCCCAGGCCCTGGGTGTGTAGGATGTGGCCTTGGGCTTCCTTCCTCCCGTCCCAGGACCTTGGGACAGTCTGAAGCGCACGTGGTGTATGTTTCTGGATGTGGGGCCCCAAAACGTGAAAAAAAAGTGGAGGGCTTTTTTGTAGGTGTATCTGGTCTTCAATAGACCTAACACTGCGTTAAGCTGTGTGTAGAAGCTCTTTGTTCACTCAGCTGACGGTCTGCTGTGCGCCGCTCCCTGGCGCCAGAGGCTGTGGCTGCAGAAGCCGAGGCTGTGGCTGCAGAAGCCGGAGGACGTGGTGTTTGCTGTTGAGCTCGTCCCAGCCTTTAGGAGCAAGACTTGTAGGCGGGTCACTGCAGCCCCACGGGAGTCAGGACGGTGGAGGTGCATGCAGTGTGTGTGTGTGTGTGTGTGTGTGTCCACGTGCACGTGCGGCAGGAGCGCACGACCGACCAGGGGGTTTCAAGGAACCCCTCGCCGATTCAGGGGCACAGACTAATCGTGATCTGCATCTGTTCTGACTCAGCAGCCTGAGGGATTAAGAGATGGGGGCTCGGAACAGAAGCCCCTAACCAAACTCATGCCTTGCCCAGTGACTTGGGGCTGGCCAGTGGCTCTGGACTGGGCAGTTTGCCTCCATGATGCCCTCAGAATGAATGAATGGCCCCTGGTGCTGCTTGGCACTGCAGCTTCTGGCAGAGGCTCGTGCAGAGGGAGAGGAGGTGGCTTCTCCTGTCTCTGCCCCACCCCCGGGCAGTGGCCACGGACCAAAGCCTGGGAGAGAGAAGAGCAGGGCAGGAGGGCCCGTCATGCCCCAAAGCATCCCGATGGCATCGGGAGCTGGGAGGGCTGTAAGTTGCGCCACTGCCGGCCGGAGGTGCCTGGCTGGCAGCATCTCCTCTGCAGCCAAGTGCAAGCACCGGGAAGCTCAGCCTTGCTCCCTGGGCAGCCTCTGCCTTCTGGAGGCCGTGGTGGCCTCCAGCTTGCACCACCTTGTGCCTGAGCCGCCCTGGGGGAGGGGCTCCGTCCCAGCTTCATTGTGCACAGAAAGCAGAGGCGATTTAGTCTCCCAGCTGGGTGCCCTGGAATGCAGGGAACTGCACAGAAAGGCCATTTCCCTAATTCCTTCAGTCAGGCCCTGGTGAGAGAGGGGCTGTGGGGAGAGCTGAATGGGCCTTTGACAGGGCTGGAGAGGCTGCTGCATTTCAATAGGAGGCGGGAGCAGCCGAGGGGAGCGCATCGGCAGGCTGGCAGGGTGATTGTGGAGAGCTTTTGTGTGGCCTCCCAATGCCACCCTGCTCTGAGGCCAGAGGACTGACAAGGCCACCCCTTCTTGCCCTTCCTGTAAGGGCCTCCAAGAGGACCGAGCACTGCCCCTGAGATCTGTTCTGGGGGATGCAGAGAGAGGAGGGTAGGCGTGGCTTGGAGGGCAGAGCTTTGGGCCGTCAGGCCCCGTGGCCACCCCGTGTGGTCATGAGTCTGAGCCACAGAAGCTTCCAGCACGCTTCATATGGACTCAGAGACGCGTACAGACACGGGGAGCGGGCAGGATGGGAGTCCTGGCTGGATGTCAGCTTCTAGGGTACAGGGGGCTGGCCAGGGTCACCCATGGTAACAGCACACAGGGCCCACCCAGTGGCTGTGGTTAGCCAGGGGGCAGTAGAGGGGCGATGTCCTCCAGTGGTGGGACCCAGGGCCCCCTCCCAGCCCTGACAACCGGGTCCCTGCCCAGACGTGAAGGCAGCAGGGGAAGGGGGGGCAGGATCTAGCTGTGGCCGCAGGGAGGGGTTGAGTCAGCCACCTCCCAGCAGTACAGCCCAGGCGGGGAGGGGAGGAGACACCAAGGAGGAGGAAGGGGAGGAAGAGGATTCAATGAGCAGGTGCTTTGGCCACAGAGCACCTTGGAGGAAGTGCTCCAGGGGAATTCAGCCACCAAGGGACAGCCAGGCCAGCCCCCCTGAGTCAAAGGGTAGGAGTGCGGCCTCTGGAGCCATGGGTGGATTCGGCACTAGCCTCATTCTTTAGAGAGAAAGTTGGGGCAGCCTTCGTAGCCTGACAGCAGAGCGAGCGGCCCTGCTAACAGCAAAACAAAAGATAAAACAGAAACAAGCAAACGAGGCCATGCACAGCCCAGCAAACAGCCCACAGCTGCCCCGGGCCCCAGGCTCACCGCCCCTGAGGGTCTGTCCCACAAGAGGCACTTAGGAATAAGAGTAATAGTTGACATGCTCTCTGTCCCCATCACTTTTCTGAACACTGTACGTTAGTCCATAAGGTACATAGCAGTATCTCCACGGTACAGACGAGGAAACTGGGGCACAGAAAGAATCAGTAACTGGCCCACGGTAACCAGGCCGGGAAGGGGCAGAGTCCGCATGCGGACTCAGGAGGCTGCTTCCGACTCTGTCCTCTGCCACCTGAGAGTGAGCACCAGGGGCCCGGCTCCTCCCAGGGCCCCGGTGTCACACTTTCCTCCCCTTCTCCTGTCTCTCCCCAACTCAGGGCACCAGTGACTTCTGCGCAGCCCCTGACACCTTCGTCCTGAACGTCACGCAGGGCCACATCAGCACAGGTAACGCCCTTGGGCCTCTGCTGTTGGAGCAGCTCTGTGTGCTCGGGCCGGGCTCACGTGGCCAGCCAGACTGTGCCTCTACTTACCTCTTTCAGTCCTGTAGTCACCCAGCCCCACCCCACCCATGATTTCAGGCCCAGCTGGTCCTTTGGGCCATTTCCTAGAAACCGCCTCCTTTGGGAGCTCCGGGATGGGGCGGAAGGCCAGGCTTGGGCTCGAGGATGGGAGGGGGTCTGGCCGTTTGCGAGCTGCCTGACACCAGTGCCACTGCCTTGCAGAGGTGACCCGCTACTACCTGTATTGCAGTCAGCGTGGAAGCAGCCCCTTCCAGCAGGTACGGCCCACTCAGACCCACCCTCGCCCTGCCCTTGCTCCTTAGCCACTTCCCCGAAGGGGAACACGCTCTCGGTCAGTGCGTAGATTGGTGGTTTTCACGTGTTAACGTGTGTGCACATCACCGGGGAGCTGGCTCACATGCAGATGCTGTGCACGGTCTGGGGTGGGGCCGAGACTCTGCATTTCTCTCAAGCTCCCAGGCAAGGCCGATGCTGCTGGCCGGAGGACCACATCTGGGCAGCAAGAAGCGAGAGGACTGTGTAGAGCTCAAGAAGCCGGAGGGAGGGGGAGGCTTCCTGCAGGCGAGAAGGTCCATGGTCAGGATGCGCCTGTGCAGTTGCAGCCAGCTGGGGGACAGGAGCGCCGGCCTCGCAGTCGCCGCTGGGCTCCTGGGAGGTGGAGCCTCATGGCGGGCTGTGTCTCTCCCGGCCCAGACGCTGACCGTCTTCCAGCGCTCGCTGACCACCATGCAGATCCAGGTCTCGGGGCTGCTGCAGTTCGCCGTGTCCCTCTTCCCCACCGCAGAGGTAAGGCGGCCGCCTCCCACGGCATCTGTGCAGGAAGACGGGGGGGCCTCAGACGAACCCTAACAGCCCTTTCTCCGGCCACGGCCCCTGCCCCAGGGCCAGGCTGCGGAGAGCTTGCCGGCTCTCTGCACCCCCTCCCCCAGCGGCTGGGCCGCTCCCTTGGGCGCCAAAGGCCTCTGCACAGCTGCTGCTGTGGTTTTAGCTGCCCGCCTGCCCCCCGAGGCTCATGCTCTGCCTCTTTCTCTCCCTGCTCCAGAAAGATCTGCTCGGAGTCCAGCTCCTGTTGAACTCGTCGGAGTCCAGCCTCCACCAGCTGACAGCCATGCTGGACTGCCGGGGGCTGCACAAGGTGCCGGGCGCCCTGGGGCGTGGGAGTGCGGGAGGGTGACAGCCTGGGCTCCCCTCAGACCCAGGAGCAGGGCTGAAGCTGTGCCTGGCTTCTGGCTTCTCTCCAGTGGCTGGCACAAGGAGCCTCAGTAAAGGCGACCAGTGATCAGGAACATGAGTGTTGGGGGACCCTGACCAACATGAGGGAGGCCATTCCCCATTGTCCAGACTCCCGGCTATCTGGTGTACCCATCTCACTACCTGATGTCCCGGTCCCATTGCCAGGGTCATCCTTTCAGGCACTTGGAGCATCAGACAGACACGACGATGCAGGGAACACATGGGAATACGTGAGCGCCCTGCCCCCAAGCAGCGGGCAGTGCGTGTCCACAGCTTTCGCGTCCCTGCGGCTTTAGAGCGAATAGTCGTAAGGAGGATCGTGGCTGCCAGCGCCATGCTTGGCCCTGTTCTGTGCACTTTATATCCAATGTGTCATTTGGTCCTCACAGTTCTACTGTGAAATGCGTGTTATTTCATGGGAAGTTTTACATATAAGGGGACTAAACCACACACACATACGTGTGTTGTGGATGGATGGATGAACATGCATATGTGTGCGTGTGTATACGGGTATCTCTACAAAGGGGCCCACTGAAGAGCCCAGAGGCAGCAAGTCCAGACTGGGTTTGGATCCTGGTAGTCTGACTTCAGAGCCGGGAACAGGGGACCGCCTGTGTCCTCTCCCGCTCCCTCCACATCTGATCCCTCGGCGGGTCCTAGCAGCTGCGTGGTCAGATGCATCGTGAATCCAACTGTTTCTATCTCCACGGCGGCTCCCACTGGCCGGTCCTGCTCCTCCTCCCACTTTCTCCTGCCCCCTTGCCACCCGTGACCTTTCACACCCAGCAGCCAGTGCGGTCCTTTTAAAAAACGAATCAGATCATGTCCCTTCCTTTCCTGACCCCTCCGATGTCTTCCTGACCCTTATGGTAAAGTCCAGACTCCTCTCCTGCCCTGCGAGGCCCAGCGTGACCTGCGCCCTCTGGCCCCTTCTCCTGCTGGCCTGTCTTCTCGTTCTCTTTCTTGCCATCTGGCTTCAGCTTACCTGCCACCTGTCTCTGGCTCCCTGCACCCCGTAACCTTATCTATCTTGTTCAGAGCCAGCCATTCAGTGCCTGGCACACAGTAGGTGCTCAGCAAATGTTTGCAGAATGAACCCAAGAAGCCCCAGGGTGTGAGGCTCCAGAGCATGGACCCTGAGTGGCAGTACGGGGTGCTTGGGATGTGGGGGCAGGTGCTAGGAGGCCCTGGGTCCCGGCTAGGGAAAGGGGACTTCCAGAGAAGAGCTCAGACCCAGGCTTTGCCCCCATTCGCTCTCCAACTGCGAATTCCTCCTCCTCCTCCTCCTCCAGGACTACCTGGACGCCCTCGCCGGCATCTGCTACGACGGCCTCGAGGGCTTGCTCTACCTCGGCCTCTTCTCCCTCCTGGCGGCCTTCGCTTTCTCCACCATGATCTGCGCGGGGCCACAGGCCTGGAAGCACTTTACCACCAGGTAGGCAGGAGGCCTCCTGCAGGCCGGGGCCTTCCCGCGCGAGCAGACGGGAGGCTCTGCCCTGTGATCGCTGAGCACCAATAGCCTGCAACGGAGAAGGGCCGCAGAGGGCCCAGGCATTCAGCCCCAGCAGGCTGGCTGGACATCTATAGACACTTTCCCAGGAGTCCAGACAGACCCCCCCAAAGAAAACCCCCAAAGGGAGCCCTAGGGCAGAAGCTGGGGCCGAGGTAGTGACAGCCCTCATGCCACAGGCTGGCGTCCCTTGCTTCTCTTCTCTTCCTCAGCAGGACTTTGCAACATGCAATGATGACAGATTTTGGTGCTGGGAGGGGTGCCCCAGGGAATACCAAGAAGGATGAATTGTGTCACTGTCATTAGGGAACCACGGGCTCATTGAGGAGATAGACAGGGCAAGGTGGTGTTTCGACACCTCCTGAGCAGATGAGGCAAGAGGAAGCAGGGTAGGGAGGACCCGCATGCATGCAGTCAGCATGGTGGACTGCCTGGAAGAGGTGACCATGAAGTTGGGAATGGGGCGAGGCAGGGCCGAGGACCGTGATTTAGAGGAATCTCAAGGAGACACACGTGGCCAGAGAGTCTGGGAGGAAAGACTGGGAAGCAGAACAGGACCACCTGCCTGGGAGCCTCTCAGCCCTCATGGCTGGGCCAATTCTACCTGTCGTTCTATTCATAGAAACAGAGACTATGACGACATCGACGATGAGGACCCCTTTAACCCACAAGCACGGCGCATCGCAGCCCACAACCCCCCAAGGGGGCAGCTTCGCAGCTTCTGCAGCTACAGCAGCGGCCTGGGCAGCCAGACCAGCCTGCAGCCCCCGGCCCAGACGATCTCCAACGCCCCCGTCTCTGAGTACATGTACGGCAGACGCTCCCGGGGCCCCACACACATCCGGGCTGGGCAGACAGCTCCCCCTAGCCCTGGAGGGGAGCTGGGTCTGCAGACAGCATATTTAGGTCCCCAGAGCCAGGTGTGGGGAGAAGGCATCAAAGGCCACCTGTGGTCCCCACTGCAGCCACGGGATGCCTGGAGGGAAGGCCCCCAGGGAGTATCGAGTCACCCCTCCACACCCACATGTGCTGGAAAGAACCCACCGTAGGTGTCAGGCTGCAGCAGCCTTTGGCCACAGCCCACGGAACGGGTCCTTGGCCAGAGAAGCTGCATGTCTGTGGGCCACACCACTCCCGGCACCTGTCGCCCATCTGCTGCTTGTCCCCAGCCTCCCAGAGTGCCCCTTCACATGCCTTCCACCCACACGCCCTCCCCTCTGTCTGTGGTCCGTCTCCATGCCCCCACCCCCAGGTTCCCCGACTCCCGCATGCACTCGTGGGCCCCTCCTGGCAGAATTAAGCCTGCACCCCCTATTCCGTCCCCTCCTGAGCTCTCCTCTCTGCCCTGCAGGAACCAAGCCATGCTTTTTGGTGGGAACCCACGCTACGAGAACGTGCCGCTCATCGGGAGAGGCTCCCCTCCGCCTACGGTAATGTGGGCTTCCACAGCGAAGTCCCTGCTTTGGCCCTTCTTGGGGAGATAATTCAAGACAAAACCTCCAGCCAACCCAGTGAATCCTCTCCACAAAGGTAGAAAAGAATGAAACAGTTTTATTATTGAATAAGCATAAAACCAGACCGTCCTGGCTGTCACAGGCGGTCCACTAAGGAGATTGCAAAGACGGAAAGAAACCGTACCCTTTCCTGCAGCCGGGCAGGCATGAGACACGCCCCACTGCATACCTGTCCTCCGGCGACAGGGCTTGACAGCACCATTTGTCACACTCGTCCACCCTAAATCCACCCGTAATTAGTTGGCCATCCTTGTTAGCTAATTACCTTTATCCAGAAGGAAAACAAAACTTCCCGTATTTCCACGACTATCAGGGCATCACAACTTGGAGCCAGCCCCTGAGTGAACTGTCACTGTTGGGGATGGTGCTGTCTGACTTGATGTTTGCATTTCCGAGAGGTGGCCCCCAGACCCTGAAGAAACCATCCTTGGATTGTAAGACAGGCAAGAGGCTTGTTTAGCCTTTAAAGAGGTTTACGTGCGTCTCAAAAGGACAGATTATTTACAATGATAAGTTTTCTACAGGAAGTACTCCAAGAAGAGAGGGAGGTCCCTTTCCCTTTTTTGCACCTGAGAAAATTAAGGGAATTTTTTTCCTTTTTAGATTTGTGTTTACCCTTAACCCTCGGCCTCCGCACAGCCCTGGGGTGGAGGGCGGGTTGGCCGTGGTGTCGTGTCTAGGATGGCTGATACAAGACACAGCCTTCCTCAGTCCTGCTCAGCTCCCAGTATCCCTAGGACTGTGCCCCTTGCCCACCCTGCCACCTCCAGCCAGGGTACCGGAGATGCAGCCTCAGGGCTGGGGCCCAAGGGTGAGGGGTGACAAGTTGAGGAGAAAAGACCTTTCTTATCCCAGAGCAGTATCTGAAGGTCACAAACGGCAATGCTGGCTGAGACAGAGCTGCAGATAGAGACGGTAGACCATTCAGGTGCAAGGACACAGACTCCGATGCCAAACGCCCTGACACCATTCCCAGCTCATTGCTTACGGCCTCTGTGACCTTGGACAAGTACTTTGTCACTCTGTGCCTCGGTTTCCCCATCTGTATAGTGGGGATGTAATAATAGCACATCCTCTGTCATAGGTGATCTGAGCATCAGAGGAATCGGTGGTTGGAGTGCGTGCGTGAAGCGCACAGTAAGTGCTTTAGGACAGTAGCTGGTTAATTTCTTACCCCTCCTTCCACTGCCAGGAACAGTTCCATCTCACCTTCAGTACAGAGCTGTGGCATTTATAAGAAAGGGCCAGGGGACACGGTCAGAAGTCTGCAATTGGGGTGGGCAGAAGAGTTCTTGAGGCAGGTGTCTGCCTTCACTCGGCCGGCGGGGCATCTCACTGTTCCATCCGGTGGTTGGGAAGGAGACATCCAACCGTGAAATAGAAGCACTGGGCCCCGAGGACCCAGGAAGTGCACGCACACTTGCAGGTTGCCGGGGAGTCGGCTTCCCCATCCCGGTGCTCAGTGGGAATCCCAGGGCCAGAACCAGTCCCTGTCTTCAGGAAGCGTCTAATCTGTAGGAGGGGGTGCTCACGAAAGCTGCCTGTAAAATATGCCACAGGTGCCTTGGGGCCAGCAGGGAGGAACTGTCCCCACTGCTCTGGGGAAATCCAAGAAGGTGCTGTGGGTAGGTGGCATTTGAACCACACCTTAGAGCAGTGGGCCTGGACAGGGCAGTTTTGCCCCCAGGGAACATTTGGAGACATTCTGATCACCACACTTGGGGACCAGGGAGGGGGAGTGGGTTCTTCTGGCATCCAGCAGGCTCAGCCAGGGACACCCACTGAGCATCCTACAGTGCACAGGACAGCCGCCTGCCACGAAGAGAAGGCTGGCCCCAAATGTCCACAGGTCCTGTGCACTATAGGATGTTTAGCGGCTTCCCTGGCCTCTACCCACCAGAAATCCTGCCCAAACCACTACCCTGTTTCTCCCTCCGGTGACCCCACCTTGGTGCTGTTCTTCTCAGCAGTCTGCAAACACACAGCTGCAACCTCAGCTTGTTCTTTCTTTCTGGGGTCCTCGGGAAGGGCGAGTGGGCTGGTGGGAGCCCGCGCCCAGAGTGAGCACCTGTTAAATCCCAGCCTGGCTTCTCACTAACAGAAGCTTCCTGGGATCCTTTTCCACCCACCAGCTACTGTGGCCCCAGGAATGCAGACTGACTTTAATATTAATCTAAGCAGAACATAATTAGGAGAAATCTGCTGCTGTGAAAATAGAATTACTCAGTGCATTTCGATGCCAAATAAAAATGATTTGGGGATTACCTTCTGTTTTGAAAGACCCAGGCCACTCCTCCTGCCATTTGCAGAGATCAAGAACTGACCTTATTTGCAGGGCTCAAGGACAGAATAAACCTTCTCTGGAGTTAAGACCTGCCCAGAAACCCTCATTGCTTTGGCAAACTCGACTGCTGGGCCCCACCCAGTTCAACCTGCCCCTCGAAGACCCTCCACCGCCCCCACTGCCTAAAGAGGCATCTAATGATGCTGGCAGAGGAGGGTGGGGTGTCTGCCCCAAGAAAGAACACAGCCGCCGCCCCCCGCCCTCCCTCGGGCTGCCTGGTCTAAAAGCTCAGCAAGTTTGAGGTTCGGATAAAATCCTCCCTCCCTGGGACAGGCAGGGGATTTCACTAGGTGACCTGGATGTGCAGCCTGTTCCCTCGCTGGAAATGTGTCTCCCCCGAGCTCTGCCTTCAAGGAATCCCTCCCTCCCATCCCTCCAGGCACCGTTTCCTAGATGTAGTGAGCAAAAATGACCCAGGGCGATCGTTAAAAATACCAGCCCTGGGAATTCTCTCTGGACTGACTCACAGAAACAATCTCCTGGGGAAGGAGCCTGGGAGGTTCTAAGTTTAACAAATTTATCGTCAACCAGGTTGGGAAATACTGCTTTAAGGAGGAGGATCTCGTCCCCACATGTGCATCTGGATCAGGAGGGATTTGTTAAAACACAGGCTGCTGGGCCCACCCTGATTCTGACTCGGAAAATCTGGGGTGGGGCCCGGGAGTTCGTGTTTCTAACCTGCTCCCAGGGAAGGCCGATGCTGCTGGCCTGGAATCCGCCTTGGGGACCCCCTGCTCTGAGACTTCCTCACTGTCAGCATCTCTCTCTGCGCCGGCTGTCCTTGCGTGGTAGGATGTTTAGCAGCACCCTGGCCTCTGCCACGAGAAGCCAATAGCATCCCACCCCCTACCCCCAGTGATGGCCACCAGAATGCCTCCAGACATTGTCAAATGTCCCTGGCAGGCAAAACCACCCCTGGTTGAGACCCACGGGGTGGAAAAGCCTCACATCCCAGCCCAGCCCAGGTGGGAGCATTTGTGAATGGCCTGGACCCGTGAGACTTCCTGGGGGCCAGGAAACGAGCGGCATCGGGAAGCTTGTAGAAATGCAGAATCTGTTTCCATGGACAAGGTCCCTAGGTGGTTTGTACGCGGGGGACAGTGTGAGAAGCCCTGTCTCTGCTGCCCAGGAGCCACAGTTCTGCCGAGAACGCACTCGTGCTGGGTCGCTGCTGCTCTGACTGGCTGCACGCTGGAACTGCCTAAAGTGCTCTAAACAACACTAGTAGCACTTTAATGATGCTTAGTTTTATGTTGTGTGCATTTTACCTTAATATGTATACACACTGGCGGGTACGGCCTGGGCATCGGGGTTTTTGGACTCCCCAGGTGTTGCTGATGCACAGCCTTGTTTGAGAACCTCTGTGTTAGGGTCTTGCCTGCTTCATGTCATTTCACCCTTTCAACGTAAGAGCCGAGTGCTCGTAGGTCCGTTTTGCAGATGGGGATACTGAGGCGAGGAGAGGTTGGAGTACCTCAGCCAAGGTCCCGGGGCGAGTAATTTGCACAGCTGGGACGTGGACCTGGCCTTCTGAGTCTCTGGGCCCCTGCCCTCGGCATGCTTGCTGCTGGTGGCTCCTCTGTGCACTGGCACATCCTACTGCTGTCCCCAGTGTGAGGTGACAGGCTGGGTGCTGGGGGTATGCCCTGCAGTGGGCGCCGTGGAGGGAGAACGGCTGGTCTGTGTGTGCATTTTGTGTTTGAGGCTGGAGGTCCGGATGGATATGGGGCTGGAGCCGTCGCCAGGCTCCCCCCAGCCCGGTGACACCACATGGTTATAACTCAGTACCTGGGCACCGTGGCTGGCCCTGCTCTGACCATCCGCTCTCCTTTCTGCCCGCAGTACTCTCCGAGCATGAGGGCCACCTACCTGTCCGTGGCGGATGAACACCTGAGGCACTACGGGAATGAGTTTCCAGCCTAACAGACTTTCAGGGGTTCCTGCCTCCGTTTTCCATTTTGGTTTTTAATTAATGCAAATACAAGATGCGTTTCTTTAATAGAAACCAAAGGCATCTGGAGACTGGCAGGTTCCTGCAGAGGGCATCTGAGATTCCGAACCAAAGCCCCAGGGGGGCAGAAGACCCACCACTTGGGCCAGCCTCTTTTCTGCCTGCCCTCCACCCCAGAAACGCCCCCCGTGTTTGGCTGCCTCGGAGGTGCCATCCCTAAGCTGGCTGCCTGGCTCGGCTTACCCCGGCACCCCACCCTCACCAGGAGGGGTATGGTAAGGAAGAGGGGCAGAGTCAGGTGCCACCATGGGGAGCTGTGTGTCCCACTGCCAGGACTGTGCCTCTTGTTAGCACCACTCTCACTCTTGGAGTCACCTCTCTGCCCCAGTTCCCTGCAGGTGACAGTGGAAAGGGCTGATCAGGAGATGCTTTTTAAAGGAGGTGGCATCCTGACGAGACCAGAACAGTCCGAATCAGAGTTCCCTGGGCCAGGCAGCCTCTTCCTGGGCCACAGAGGGGAGGCTGGTGGCTTGGGGACGGGGGGATCACAGCCCGCCCGGTGGACCCAGGTAGGATCAGGGGTGAAAGCCCCACCTCCACTCCGGCATCGACGCTGCAAGCTTGTCAGCTGCAGACAGGGACGGTCTCAGGTATGAACAGACACTTTGAAAGCAATGTTAACTCTTTTTTTTCCAATGTTTTAAACATTTTGATTATCCAAAGAATTGAAACTCACAGTACATCCAGTTTTTACAACAGAGTAGGGGCTCATTCCTGACACCTGGTTTTTATACCACAACTTGGACAGATTTTGCTGGCACCGGCCGGTTCTTTACAGATCTAGAGGAGACGGGGAAGAGTGGGTTTTTAAATAAAATAAATACCAGTGAGACATCCTGTCCCGAGCTGCTGTTGGACGGGGATCTGGGTTCATCCCACCCAGGGAGGGAGGATCTTTCAGAGAGGAAAGAAGCTAAGAGGGAAAGTTGAACCCAGTCCTCTGTCCCAGGGACTAGCTGATGCTCACATCCACCGTGCCCTCCCTGCTGTCCTCCAGCGAGTTTGTCAGAAAAGGTTTTAGCAGAGTGGTATGAGGTGTCTTGATGTGAGGACAGGCCTCCTCCCTGCCGCCCTCACCCCCCATCCTCACCCCAGCGTCCCAGGTCCCTGCCCTGCTAGGCGCCAGAGCTTTTTGGCCAGGAGGAAATAACGACCCACCATCCTGCCTGTCAAGGGGCCAGGGTTGGGGTCTTTGGTGCTTCCAACCTCCTGCCAACCCGAGGTGCACGACACTGAAGCCCCCATGGCCTTGCACAGCAAAGCAGGGGTGTGGGGTGGCTTGGCTCGGGACGAGGGCTCTGTTTCCGTTTTGGAAGAGCCACTTTGTCAACGGCAGAATGGTTCTCAGCTTCCAGCCAAGACTCCACAACAGAATGGGGCCACAGGGTAGCCGGGTCTCTCCGTGTCTCACCTGCATTAACCTGTACATACCGCGTATCATAAACACACCTTCGTACGTCCACGTCACGCGCAGATAGGAACTCTGCGACGTCAAGGTGTTGCTTCTTAAGGTTTCATTATTGGCAACTAGAGGGTTGTTTTTAATGCATGGAAACTAAACTAAAATTCCTCGGGGGTCCTGAAGGAGCCAGGTGGGCAAACCTCTGCTTGATACATGTGCACCCTCACCTGGAGGAGAAATAAACCACTTGTACTAAAATGTGCAGTCAGTCTCTAACTTCCTTGGCGGCAGGGCGTAATGGGGGTGTTGAAGGTCCCCTCCAGCGGGGTCATGTGGTGGGAGGGCTTCAGCGCAGATTCCAGTAGTGATTTCCTCGAGATTGAAAGGTGGAGCTTGAATGAACGTCACGGGGCTCTCACGTGGCCTCTGGCTGCTCTTACAGGACCAGCAACAGGCCTTAGTTCCACCCTAGTCTTTCTCCCAAGTTCCTCCCAAGGTCGTTGCTCTTACTATGGCTCATAATAAGTAGCATTTATTGAGTGCTCAAAATGCGCCAGGGTATTTGTATTAATTTGTAATCAAACCTCGTAGCCCTAAGAGGTCATTTGTTTTGTAGTTAAGTCAACAGAGGCCCACGAGGGTAAGGACCTGGTTGGAGCAAGGGGCAGAGCCCGGAGCGTGTACCCAGAGCCCCAGCTCTGGCCCCCACCACTGGGCGCCTCTGCCCAGTGCTCTGGGGCTGGGGCAGAGGTGGGTCCTTGCTGCACCCTCTTCCTGAGCTCTTCACCTCCGTGGCCGCTTCTCCGGGCCCTGGCCACACAGCGCCCTTCATGCTTTCTCTGCAACGTCTCTGAACAGTGAGCCTCCTAGGCAGCCTGGCACAGCACGCTGGGCCCACTCCAGCTCTCTTCCCAGGGCCGTACGCGCCCGTTCACTCCTACTCCTGGAACTGACTGCGTTCTGAGCAGCTTCCTGAAACGAGCAGCTTATACGTCCTCTGGGAGCACTTGCGGTGCGACAAAGAGAACCCGGTGCAGCTGAGCGTGCCTGGCTCAGCTGAGCGTCTGAGCGGGGGGCTTCCCTTGAATGGGAATGTTTCTCCCACCCCTCCGGGCAAAATAGCCTCCCCCTCTCCCTGGGCTCAGGATGCCGAGGACAGCGGAGAAATGGCTCAGAGGAACGGAGACGCTTTTCTCTGACTGATCTGATGTTCTGAAGGTAACTGCAATGCGATACCCACGTGAGATTGGCTTTGGGGCTTTAACCGCCTCGGATCTGGAGTGAGCCCTGAGCTGCAGGCCGGCCGTGCCTGACACAGGAGGAAGGCCGAGGGACTGCACCAGCCCAGGGTGGTCTGGTCACCGCCACGTGTATCACCTCCCTGTCCTGTCTCTGCTGAGCCAATCTCTCATCCGAGGGAAAGGCATGGGATGGGGATGCGGTTGCCATGCCCCTGTCCCACCTGCCCGGCTCCCCGTCACCATCGCAGACAGCCTCTGAACAGCACCCTGACTGCAGACCCAGGCAGGGCCAGCTGTAGGAAGAGGGGCAGGTGCTTAGCCTGCTCTTGGAGAGAAAGAGCAGTGAGCTCCACCAGGCCCCTCTGTAGGCGGGGCCTTTGCCAAGAACCGCATGTGTTCCCTGCTGCCATTCTGAGCCCACCTACTCCAACAGAGCGCTTCCTTCTCCAAAGCTAATTCATCTCAAACGTGCTTTTTCCCTCTCCAAAGCTGTGCACTCTATTCAGAAGTAGCAGGAGTGCTATTACTGCCTCTTAACCTGAGAAATTACTGATCTCATACTCAAAAGGCTTGATGTGTCTATTGACAGATATTCCCAGGTAAAGAGACTTTATCTTCCTTTCTTCCCGCTTCCATTCATTTAACTAAAATGCATTGATTGCTCAGTACAGGGGCCAGCAAACTATAGCCAGTGAGCCCGCCCTGACCAGCTGCTTTGTACGGCCCGTGGTAAAAACAGCTTTTCCATTTTTAAGTGGTTAAAAAGAAATAAAACATTTGCAACTGATTTTTATGGTAGACAACCCTCAGTTTGAACCTCAATTAGGTAAAATGTCATTCCCCCCCGCAAAGACCTTTATTCTTGTCATTCATAGACCTGTGTTACAAAAAAATTGTACTCAAGCATGTATTTTATCAATCAAAAATGTGTGGAAATTGGTTTTCTCTCTTGCCATACAAGTACCTACGTGATATCTTTGATGTTGCTTCTTGGCACAAAAAGCCTACAATATTCACTCTCTTTTACAGCAGTTTATAGTTTGCTGACCCCTGGCCTGGCACACCACTTTTTCTAAATTCTGGGACTGCGGAAGTATCTAAGGTGACCATGGCCCTTGACTTCATGGAGTTTACAAATTAACAAGGAAGCAAGTAACATCATCAATCCTGATTTGCTTAGATTCAAGTTCAGAGTCTTACGTGGACATTTGGTAAAATTCCTTGAATCTCGTGTCTCCTGTTTTGTCTGTTTTAATCATCATTGTTTTTCTGATTACAAAAGAATGTGCATGATGAAAACATTTCAAACCCTACAAAAATGTGTGAGAAAGTGAAAATCCCCATAATCCAATAACCCAGAGCAAAACACCATGACCAGTTTGGTGCATATTCTCCCAGTTTTATCCCTAAGTATTTGTAGAAATACAATCACACTGTACACCTTGCTCTGCAATTGCTTTTTCTACTTAACAATATGTCTTGGCTTGAAAAATCTGCCCTCTTTCCACCACTGACCTATGAGTGTAGAGGAGGGTGGAGACTGTGTCAGATACCAAAAGCCCTCTGAGGAGAATCACTCTCCCTGCCTGCCAGCGATTTATGAGTGTCTGCTGCAAGCACAAGGCAAAAGCCTTCCTGAGGCTCACACGCATGGAGAGCAGCCCTCAGTAATTGTCTTTTAAGCAGATGAATGAAAGTCAGCACCATAGTCACATGTACAACGGTGGTTGTCCATGTGTCTGCCCCTGTTTCATAGGAATCAGTCAAGAGCCGTCCATTAAGTCCTAGGGAGGGGCCAGGCACAGTGGCTCACGCCTGTAATCCCAGCACTCTGGGAGGCCGAGACGGGAGGATTGCTTGAGCTCAGGAGTTCGAGACCAGCCCCAGCAAGTACAAGACCCTGTCTCTACTAAAAATAGGAAAAATTAGCCCTGCGTAGTGTGCGCATGCCTGTAGTCCCAGCTACTCAGGAGGCTGAGGTAGGGGGATCCCTTGAGCCCAGGAGTCTGAGGTTACTGTGAGCTAGGCTGACGCCATGGCACTCCAGCCTGGGCAACAGAGCGAGACTCTGTCTCGAAAAAAAAAAAAAAAATCCTAGGTGATCAGGTAGAAAGACAGTGGTGCTGGTGACCCATGGAACACTGGGGAGGAGCGAATTGGGGAGTGAGGGCCTCATTCCTGATAGGTTAGGTTTGAGAGGCTGTTTGCAACATCTGGATGGCAACATTAGGCAGGCAACTCGAAGTCTGGATGAGTGTTAACCCACAGGCCTGGATCGGGGAGCTGAGGAGAAACAAGGAAACAGGAAGAAAAGCAGCGAGCTGGTGTAGGGGAAGTCAGGAGGGG